GCTCATGAAAAACTCCAAAGTACTTGGAAGTCTGGTACCGATTTATGGTAAGCAAAAAAGGACCTACCAAATCACAGAGCCTAGATTGGGAAAATGAAAAAGGTTTTTCCAAACATGCATATGAATTGGGATCGAGCAATAAAAACCTATAACATCTGCAATCTACCAAAATGGATGTGCAAATCACTGCCAGAAGATAATAAAAAACAGAAAAAAAAAAAAAAAAGTTGAGGATAAAGGTCTACAAAGATATGAAATGGTGAAAAAATGATCTTGGGGATAAAACACCAAAGGACAACCCAAAATGTTTAAGCTGGCAAACATGCAGTGTATCTGAATCTCAAAATGTAACTTCAATAATTACAGGCTATCAATGTGTTTATGTAGAACATCAGTCAGGTTAAAATGAATTTAGGTTATAATATAGACTAACTAATCGAGTCCTAACTTAATCGATTCCAGCCTGAGTCATGATTAAGTCTAGGTCAGCCAAGCTTAGCGAGTCTTATTTCTAAAATAGAGAAGATTCAAAAATCATTTCTCGACTTTCCTCATATTCCATATTAATTAAAAAGAAGTTGGTCCTAGGGGAAAAAAAATCTCCACAGCAACTATAGTTTTTCTAGACTTTGGCTATGTTAATCACTAACATGTTCGTATTGTATAACAGATCCATCTTTGTTGGAAATCAAATTGACACATCCCAAAGTCACTTCCACCTGAACTCATCTCCCTATGATCCTCCCAGAAAAGTTCCTAACAAAGTTCAAATGGGGGCATAATTAAAAACCAAAGTAGTCAATTCAGACCATATACATTAGCATCAGGTTCTTTATTTTCCTAGTTTGGTAAAAAAAGTCTCTGATTTAACCGGATTCCATAAAGTTATCAAGATCTAGTATACAAGGTTCTTCAGCAAAAATAGGGCTGTAAAATATTCTGCTAGCGAGTTTATACATAGTCATTAAGAACCCACTACCTAATACAGTGGCAGGTTCTTTAATATTCCTAATTTGGTTATACCTTATCTCATTCAAACAGAGTCCACAGAGGATTCAAACTCTAGTAGATGGAATTCAGCAAAACTGGAATTGTGAAAGAATCTACTAACTACTGCACATATCAGTGTCCAATCTATGGTCGTAGGATTAGCGTTTGAACATAAAAATTCTGAACATCCAGATCATTTTAATCCTGATCTTGATTTCTAATATGAATTCCAACCTCCATCCTGATCTAGATTTCTAAATCTTGATCAATATGTGAAGTGTCAGAAAGTTCCAACAGAAAGGTATGTACACCAGAATTTTATTATGATTGTTTTCAACATCAAATCAGCAATTATGGATGAAAGAAATGTAGGGAATTTGGAAAGCTTTTCTTGAAAACCAAATGCATAAGTATTTATCAATAACTCATCAAATTGAGATCCAGGCTTTTACTTCATAACCATCAAAACATGTGGCAAGAGACCATAACTAATGATTCACAACACATCAAAGAACACTTTTCCCTTATAAAAAAACAATTCCTTTTCTAGTGTCATTAAAATTTTGGACCACTCAGAACAGGCTCCAAATAAGCACTTCTAATATTATATACTTTAATGTCCTTGCTTCTGACTTTGTTTTCCTTCTTTCACACATCTTTTAGGTACAGTGAATGTTTTCATGTAACACATTACGGCATCAAAATACATTAAATATTGTATGGGACAACCAATCACATGGTTAGTGACAAAATTAGAAAGCCTTAACAATAGCACTTACCACCCCAACATAACAGCCATGCATGGAAACCCAGTATAAGACGTTACCCCTTCAACAAGAAAAAAAAGTCCAGATGCAATAATCTTATAAACTTTCATTCAATAAAATCTCCTAAAGCATCAAATTTCATGCGGAAAACTTGTTTAAACTTCCCACGCCAAGACATAGAAAGCAAAGCATTAACATATTGCAATAACGTACACTTCAAAACTACTTGGCCACTACGGATTAGCTTATCAATGTCACTTTCTTCCAACACCCAAACGCTACTACTCATCAATTTCTCCACGAAAAGTTTCCAATTTACAGTAATATGCCCATTCGAACACCCAAATAAGCTTGCAATACGATCAAGAGGGAAAAGATAGCCTTAATCTGCATCCCAACCTCAATACCTGCACCATCATCCACCTAGACTATCAAAAAAGAGATGTAAGACAAAATTCAACCAAGGAAAGAAAAAACTACTCAAATTCCCACCAATATGGTTTCACTCGCAACTCATGACTAAACGACAGAAACCATACGAGACAACACCGGGCCAAATTCAAGCGATCAAAACGGCACATACCAGAAAATTCCTATTCTCCGTCATCCAACCGACGATAACCCCTATTTCACGCATCAGTGCACCGAAAATGGCGATCCAACCATGAATCGGACGAAGGAGAGACCAATTAACAAAGCAGCGAGAGGTTGAGGAGGAGAACTCACAGGATTACGCGGCCGGCGGGGATTACGGTAGCCGACGGAGAGGAAGCGGCGAGGAGCGGAACTGAGCGACATTTAAAAGCGATGTCTCGGATGATTCACTTTATTGAAGCGCGGGTATATCGCGGGATCTAAACCGTCCATTCCTGGATCGACGGATCGGACGATCCTACACTTCAGCTGTCGGAAGTCTGCTTTGCAGCAGGGGCGAACCAACCCGAATAAATTTCAGGGGTGATGTGCCATCCGACATACACGACGGTCAACGCGTCAAATAAACTTTGTATATCTTCCGGTGAGAAAACGAAATGTTGACTTTGACCCAACATAGTAAAAAGGTCAAAAAGGTCGCCGCCAACTGTCCCGTGCTCGACTGCTGATGACATGGGAAGGCCTTTAAACTTCTCATCCTAAATTGGTTTCCAAATTTTAATTTTGTGGCAATTATTTTTTCTGTGATCGATTTATGTCGCTCTATCTTATTGTGAATTCATTAATCAACGTGACATATGTGATCGTCGCTTTGAATGAGCTCTTGATATGCTTTAATTTTCACGGTTCGTGCAGCGCGTGCCTCGTGATTCTTGCCGCGTACCGATACAGATGACTGTTGGTTTTACGGGTATGATGAACAGAGAACAGCTCCAACTGGTCAAGTCAATTCAGTGGATTTGACCTAAGAATGTGGAAATTGAAGTCGATCATTGTTAGATTCAACTCACAAATCAATATATCCAAAAGAATGAGGACGAGAGAAAGACTTTCGAATCAATATATGCCCCCACACGGTTTGGAGGAGATAATATTTGGTTTTTCAATAAATTATAAATATATATATGATTAAAATATTATATGTTTAATTTTTTTTTGGGAGAAAAATAGTATATCACTTATCAATCTAAACAAATGTGTTGGGTTGAATCAGTCAACTCTTTAAGATTTGTCCATGTCATCTTCGGGTATGTTGTTAATCTTCTCTGTATCGTTTCAATTTTATCGGATGTAGACTTCAATATGTTTACTATAAAATAATATTTATTAAAAATTAAAAATAAAAAAATAAAAGATGAGCACAACAAACTAACTCAAATCAATTGATCTATTGATTTAAATTTCCAAAGTAGTATAAGATTGAAACCTAAAATGAGGACAACAATTATTCAACTCATAACTATAAAAGGTTTTTTTTCTTCTTTAAAAATGACAATAAATGGTTGATTTATTCAAGAGTTAATGTCTGTAAAACTGCTATTCAAGAGTTCTTTCTTAAGTGCATGTTTTAATCCTCAGAAAAGAAACATGTCAATTTATTATAGGTTTGGAAAATTTTTCTACACCGTCTCCATCATTCATTCATAAGCTATCAAAATCATGATTTTAATTATTAATCATATTTTTTTATTGATGTAGAATGATATATACCACTTATATATTAACACTATATCGATCGTACTAATTTTCTCTGTATTATTTTAATTTTATTAAAATTTATGCTAATAATTTTTAAAAATATTTATACTTTACAAAGGAAAAAAAAAAATGACACAACTCATTTCCATGTCTGAATACCAACCAAGGAGGTCATACTTGGCCCCCTCACAAGATAAGAAAAAGCAGAGAAAACAAGCTCTGATGAGGCCCCACACATCTTTGACTGGAAAAGTTCAAAGCAATGCAATGTGTCCCTTAAAGTCTAGACTCTTTCCTTCCATGGACCAACTGCTTGATGGTCCAAGCCATCAATGCTCTCACTCTCATAACATGGGAGGGAGTGTTGTCCATGTGAATGCATGCATAGGGATGGAGCAATGCATCCTTTTCTTGGTTGCTTAACCCCAATTAGGCCACATATTAATCTAATTTTGGACTGAATATAAATAAAAAATAAATATTCGAGTTGAGTTTCAGATGAATAATTTAGTGCGTCCATTGATGCGATTTATTGCCTTAAGCTCGTATGAGCACTACCGAAATGTTCCTGTGTCTTTCCTACCTGCGTTGTTACCCGCCTTGTGATTGGTGAAACCCGCTCTGGAGCCATGGAATCGACGAATCATGAGGCAGGAAGGGGGGCAGAAAGCACAAGTGCGATGCAGATCGACGCCACGTGATTACGGTGCGCCACTCGGACGCGCATTCACCGTCTATTGGCGGCGTTAGGTGGTTGCTGTTTGATGCGCCCCCCCGGCGCATTTAAGAATAGATGCCGCTTGACTTTGACCGGAGTCCAAGTCAATGTATGAAGCCACCTCATACCGTTTTGTATGCGGTTGATGTAATCTACCGTGGGGATTGAGGATTAAATTGATCGGAAGAAGAATCGTCGGCTGGATTTTATTCTAAGCAGTGATCGCAAGATAATTAATTGTCGTGCTCCGTTGGTGATGATGGAGAGGAGAAAAGAAGTGTCTTTTGGATTAGGGAGGGATTGGTTGTCGTGATAGATGTGATTGCTTTTTCTTTACTGCTGTTGGTTGTGGTGTTTCTGCCTTTGAATCCTGGCACAGCCGACTCCTCTCTCTCTCCAGCACATTCTTTAATGTTATTATTTAGACTGGAGTGGAGAAAACGCTGGGAACAAGGAAAGTCTCCTTTGAGCTCCGCGTCCCGATTGGGGGTCTCCGGAGAGTGGAGACTGGGGGTTCCGTGGTTGCTCTCGGTCTCGACTCTGCGTCCTTGCCATCGTGTTCTAGGTGAGTGATCAAAATGAGATCTTTCTAGTGTTTTTGATTGTTCTCGGATGACTTCTTTCTCGCTTGCTATCTGTTCATTTCTTGGTGATTTTTGGTGGGTAGGTGGATGATCTGTGGATTGATTTCGCCCAGCGCATGTGTTGGAAAGATTTGGTTTTTCTTTAATTTGGTTTCCATGGATCTTGCTGAATTTTGATGGGTGGGAGTTGTTGGGTGTGTTTGGTTCTGAGTTTTAACATGAAACTTGGGAAAAAAGAGATCTTTAATCCTTTTCGCCCTTTCTATTTATCTAACGTTTCCAAGTAGTGGCTCTTCATATAGGAAGGCCTGCTACTTGTTGATGGTTTATATGATGTCTTTTAGGGACTAATAGAACGAGTCTTTGCACATGTGATGGTTTCCTAGAAATAATCTGTGGTTGCTTTTGGGGGTTATAATTATCTATATATCACGTTTGGTTATTGATGATTCTTCTGGTGAAATTTATGGGTGGACTTATAAATTGCTTGGCTGGTTTGTTCCTTCTACCTCATATATTAGATTTATATTTATGTTTGGATCCAACTGGGGTGTTATCAGTAAAAGTAATTCATCAGAATTTCCTATCTAGTTTTAGCTTGGTAGTTTCTGTCTTCTAAAAGGGAAAAAAAAAACTAAAATTATTGCATTTTATTGAATGTTTGGTGCTTATAATACAGAGGAATTATATTATTAGGACTGATGTTGGCTTCCTTAGCTTCCAGTGGTGTGATTTAGAAGGTAAATTGCGTGTTCCAATATAAATCCTGCATTTTGTAGGACGTTCAGAATATGAACTTGGTTCCATGAGATGAGATTTGTGGGAGTAGAGTAGATTTTAATTGTCCGATCATACTACTATAGTACTATGACCGTTGTCCCTGTAATTCTTTTTCATAAGTTATTTGTCAGAAACTGCATATTTGTTGCAGGTCTGGGTTTTGTAGATCTTGAATGAAAATAAAGTACGAAAATGAGCATTTTGATATAAAACACAAAGTAATTTGTTGTATTTGCACATGCATTAGCTGAGCTAGCGAAGAAGATTTTCTTTGTTTGGCATTATGAAAAGTAGCATTCCATGAATCGCTTTCTTGCTCTAGATTTATCTTCTACAAGCTGGTGGACAATTGGTTAAGTCACCGTTAATGAATCATGATGTTACCAGTTGATAATTATTCTTGAATCTTCAGAACTATGCTCACATTATATGAAATCTACCTTTGAATTGGTACAAGTCTGGGACTTTCTGTTCTTGTAGAAATCTGTTCCTTTTATCTAATGCATTTCTCATTTAGGTGCAGCTGAACAGTGGAATATATAATGGGCGACTGACGTTGTATCTGATCGTGTTTCTTGTACTTGGTTAGAGAAGGAGCTTGGAGGAATTTGCATGTTTACAGCCATGAAGTGCAGACCATCTGTTATTCTTCTTCACACACTCTTTTGGTTTTCGCTCCATGACATATGCTACAGTACTCCCAGTGACATTGAATGTTTAAGACTCGTAAAGCTATCACTAAAGGACCCTGAAAATAACCTATTCTACTCATGGACCTTTGACAACACATCAGAAGGGTCCATATGCAAGTTTAACGGTGTCGAGTGCTGGCATCCTGATGAGAACAAAGTCCTTAACCTGAGGCTTTCCAACATGGGACTTCAAGGTCAATTCCCTTCAGGACTTGAGAATTGCACAAGCTTGACTGGGTTGGATCTCTCAAACAACAACCTCTCTGGAACTATTCCTGTGAATATCGCAAAAAAAATACCTTATGTCACGTCACTTGATCTTTCATTCAATGATTTCTCAGGCCAAATTCCAGTGAATCTCTCTGACTGCACTTATCTTAATTCACTTAAGCTTCAGCATAATAATTTGACCGGACAGATTCCCGGGCAACTGAGCATCCTTTCACGACTAACAGAGTTTGATGTTTCTGACAACCACTTATCCGGCCCAATTCCTGCACTCCAGGCTAAGCTTACGCAGTCAAACTTTGCAAACAACCCTGGTCTTTGTGGGGCGCCTTTGGGTGCTTGTGCAGGGACTTCAAAGAAGATTAATGCTGGTGTAATCATAGGTTCAGCTATTGGTGGTGTTGTGATAACCATCATCATTGTTGGAGTTGTTTTATACTTCTGTATGCGTAGAATGCCCATCAAGAAGAAAGAAAAAATTGACATAGAAGAAAACAAGTGGGCAAAATCTATAAAAGGAGCAAAAGGCACCAAGGCAAGTTGAGTTTACTCTTCAATTAGTTAATGAGTTGAAATTTCTTTATTATGATGATTGTTCTTTCTTTATCTTTTCCCCCTTATTCTGTATTGGTGCTCAACCTATGTGAAGTTTAAAGGACAAACTTGTTATTTGTAGGTCTCTATGTTCGAGAAGTCCGTGTCAAAAATGAAATTGAGTGATCTCATGAAAGCAACCGATGATTTCAGTAAGGAAAACATTATCGGTACTGGTAGGACAGGGACGATGTACAAGGCAACACTTCCAGATGGCACTTCTCTTGCTATCAAGAGGTTGCAGGACTCACAGCAATCCGAAAACCAGTTTGTATCTGAGATGGCAACGCTGGGAAATGTGAGGCACCAAAACTTGGTTTCCCTGTTGGGTTATTGTGTTGCCAAGAAGGAGAGGCTCTTGGTGTACAAGTACATGCCCAAGGGGACACTCTATGATCAGCTACATGGCTCAGGTGCACAAGGGAAGAGTATGGAATGGCCGACAAGGCTCAAAATCAGCATCGGAGCAGCAAAGGGATTGGCATGGCTTCACCACAGCTGCAATCCACGCATTCTTCATCGGAATATTAGCTCCAAGTGCATCCTACTCGATGAAGATTACGAGCCTAAGATATCAGATTTTGGACTTGCAAGGCTGATGAATCCCATCGATACACATCTTAGCACTTTCGTGAATGGTGAGTTTGGTGACCTGGGTTATGTGGCTCCCGAGTATGCTCGCACACTGGTCGCAACACCAAAGGGTGATGTTTACAGTTTCGGAGTAGTTCTTCTTGAATTGGTCACTGGTGAAAAGCCGACTCAAGTGTCTAAAGCTTCGGAAAATTTTAGAGGCAGTTTGGTCGACTGGATAACCTTCCTTTCGAATAACTCTCTTCTTCAAGATGCAATCGATAAGTCAGTAATCGGAAAGGACTATGATAGTGAACTACTCCAGTTCATGAAGGTTGCCTGTGCTTGTGCTTTATCTGGTCCTAAGGAGAGACCTACCATGTTTGAAGTGTACCAGCTTCTAAGAGCTATCGGGGAGAAGTACCATTTCACCGCCGATGATGACATCTTTCTGCCACCACTCAGCATTGATGCTGATAATCTGGATGAGCTTATCGTGGCAAAGTAACCAAGAAGTTAGGTGGATGGTGGAGATGGGAGTCTGTAGCAGTAGTACATCTGAAGGAAGTAAAACAACAGGATGATCATCACTCGTTTTACTTCAGATCTCTCGCAATATATTTCTTGTACATCAAGTTGCTCAAGTATCGTAGATGAGTTCTTACTTTGTCGCCCTTATCCTTTCGTATACATTATATTGGATAGTGGTTTGGTTTGCTATTTTCCCTTCCATGCTGAATGGTTACTGCATCATCAATGAGTTCAAAATTCCTGCAGAAACTCACTGTGAGGTTTCCGCTGCTTTCGATATTTGGATCGTGTTGATCTTTAAGGTTTGCCATGAAGTTGTAGAACCCTACCTACTCACTGCCGTCCACCCGATTGCTCACCATTTATTCATCAAGGAATGTACAGATGTTGCACAGTTCACTGGGAAGACATCATCAAGTGGCACACGAAAAGCTTCTGAGATAAAAATGGGTTCTTGCCTTTCAAACCACTAAGAGTGGAACTCCATGCCATGCTTCAGTTAGACATAACTTCATCATCATCATGTAATGAAGCGTTGAAGCGATTCCCTTCTTCAACACCTTCCCCGTCATTTCATCGAGCACCATTGCGCTCGTCGCAATCGAAAAGCACGCCAACTGTTTGTTCTCGGCCACTCGCTCTTTGCACTCCTGTATAATCATAACACTTTGCACACTTGGTCGAAACAACAACATAGCTTCCATCATGGTTAGCATCCAGGTTTCAGGACGCTCTTCGATGTCCGGACTACAAGTCACAGCTTGAATCTGAGCTCCATTGCGCAGCTTTAGAGAGAGAAGCGAAAAAGACGACTATCGGCTAGATGGAGTGCAAAGAGCACCCTAGTAGAAGATTAGCCTTGGATCAATGACAGAGATACCTCCATTGCGATCTGGATAGGTAAGATTCAAGTTATGAGAATAACCTTCCTAAACCCTTTTTAAGGTAAGAAATTATCAATTGGAACCTCACTTCTCCAAATCGATACCATATGTGTAGTAGCACTTGTTAGCTAGCATGTTCAAGTAACCAAGTGTCTCTAATAATTTGTTTATCTATTTATTGGTTTATTGGATATCAAGTGTTTATGAAACAAACATCATGCGTCTGAACTTGGAACTCTGGGCAGGAAACAGAGTCAATAGATTTCAACTCTAACATATTGCTTAGAAAAACCACAGCTGCTACACCTTTCAGTTTCTATGAGAATCTTCTTTTCTTTTTTACTTGTTCATGAATGTGAGAATAATTTATGAATGAGAAGGCAAAAGATGAACTTTGGAATGATCCTTGTCTGGATTTGAGAAAAATCCTACATCCGAAATCCTGTTGTTCATGAGTTTATTGTCACCTACCTCTGGCCAGAAATAGTTTAACAACTCAGTTGGAAAATCACATCACAATCTGCGTTTAAATCTCAATATGAATTCATGACAAAGAGGCAGAAAGAGAGAGTGCAACGAAAAAAGGTCCATTTAACTCTCATTCATCAATGTCAACTAACGTGGAAAACAAGATAATTTTATGATAGATTACATCTATAGGAGCTAATCACAACAATTTGTGATAAAACATGGAATAACTGATACATGTTTGTTCTGCACTAATTCAAAATTTTTGTAGAAACTAGTAAAAGCAAACAAAACGCCGCGAAGCATCTGCAGATGCGAGTTCTATTCCTAGGGATTTTTTGCCATATCGAATTAAAATGGAAGGGAGTAACCGCGTAGGTACTTCGAGTCCACCCCTGACTCTCTAACCAAAGCAACTCGCCCAGTTCGTGCCACCTGCAGAGATTTGAGACATTTTTCATGTCAAGATGCTTGTGTATAGAATGATTAGGTGTTCTTGTTAAGAAACTATGGAAGTGGAGCACCAAATAGGTTCTTAATAGTATCCAAAGGCACCTTCAGAGTGTGAAAGATGATTATATAGAAATCCAGATGGCTCGAGGACTTGAAACACCACAAGATTATTAACAGAAACTCTAGATTCCTCTTAATATCAAAGATTTAGGCAATTTAAGAAAAGTGAGAAACCTCACTATTGATGGTGCAACATACAGTACTTCTCCTGAGGCTAATTGTATAATACAAGAAAAGGTGATCAAGGCCGTAGAGAAGATCTACAATAGAAGGAAGAATATACAGGTGTGGGTTACACCAAAAGCTAGGGGAAATCCCAACATTTAGTTGGATGCATTCAGACAGAAGAAAAGGAGTAAACTAGGCATGAAAGAAGACCGCAATAGATGAATCTAGAACATGTTGGATTGGCCATGAGTCAGTGACTTAGGCATGTGACTTCCAGGCCTTGCTACTAGTGATTTCTTTAGTGCTGTAAGGACATTGGCCACCTGTGTCATGAAGAGAGAGAGAGAGAGAGAGAGAGAGACTGTCAAGCTAGCCACTACTGAGATATTTGGAATCCTATGGATCATCACCTGAACACTGTCACTTTGCTATTTGTCCAGGGCAGTTCCGTAGGAAGACCAAGGTCTTGAGACCAACACAATGTTACACTGGGAACATTGTGCTCAATCTACATCAAGCTAACAGATGCTATAAAGCCTGGCATTACATGCTGAGCAGATTTATCTTGCAATCTATTTGCTGGACATTACTAACATTAGCCCCAATACTTGTCCTAATCGATGTGCATTAATTTGTTCAGTTGATCCAAAGCATCATGACTTAGACTTTGTTCACTACTTATTTTTCACTTGTAGGTCATACAACATCAAGCAGCTGACAAAAAAAATAAGACAGCAAGTATTTGTCAAGGAAAAAACATCTGGAAACATCAAGGTTGCCATGACAAGCTTCCCTGCAATGTTTGTGAAAGTATTATCTCTGTGCTTTATATAAGGTGATAGTGAAATGTTCATAAGACTAAATAAGTCAGGTTAAAGGCTCCAAACCAAGATAGCAGAAACTCTTGATCCTACGATAATGATTAGAAACAAACCTCACAGATGCCATATGGCTCCAATAATCTTTGCAGTGCAACCATCTTGTCCAAATCTCCCGTAAGCTGAATGCAGATAAGTCAGATCAATTTGCAGAACACTCAGCATAATATAAGCAGACAAAGGAAAAAAGCATTGGCGTCCACAAGAAATAAACTCCAAGAGTTGGACAACCTTGTTAAGAGTACAGGGAAACCATTTCAAATTCCACAACATGGTATCCATTTTGAAATTAGTAAAATGACATGGTAAAAGTAAATAGCAGAATTCTGGGACAAATGAAGACTGACATTGTGATCAATGTGCTGAATGACAAACTTTCTGTTCCTTATTTTCAGAAGGTTCTTTAATAGTTAGGAGTTTCCAATAGCTTGAATAAACAAGATTTCAGAAGCACTATACAGATAAAAGGTTCATAAAAAAGCTCCTGCATAACATGGATAACCCTATGTGATTGAAACATATGTGAGCTTTTAATAGCATTTAGGTAGAAGAGTTGACAGTCGACTTCCATTATCCATAGAGAGATCCCAAGACAAATCACTTCTCCTTTAACCTTGTTAGTTGTTCCACATTTTAGCTAGAAATACCTTTAGCAGTAACTCTGCACTAATTCTTTCTGCATATTTTCCCACAAGAGATAACATTTATTTTCTTAGAACAAAGGTATGAGAACTTTTCTTTTTCTTTTTCTTTTTTTGAAGTAGGGTAAAAAGTTGAGATTCAAGATTGATTTATCAAGGACAAAAGAACATTAATCAACTAAACAAGAAATGAATTCATGAACATGAAGGAATGTGAAACCATCAATAGGAAAACAAATTAAAACAATCAATTAATATTTAAATTAAACATATTAATAATAAGTTTGCAGCTGAGCAGTAACTACAAGTTGGAGGATATGCACCACACTTGAAATAAATTACTGCATGGGTTCTCTTGCAGACCACATCATACAGTAGTTTCAAGTGAAACCGGTCCATTTTCTCATCATGCAGTATGGAGGACAAGCACCTCACCTAAAGAAAATCACTGTACAGTATCTCTTACAGACTGTATCATTCAGCAATATGCATGAAGCTGAACCACTTTCTCACAAAGTTCACAACAATCTTTCTGTCTGGATGTTTGAAGAAGTTGTTGTACATGCATTATAACACTGTTTTGTACGAGCATTACATAATTAAGGGCAAAGAAAGCGAGAAGGGACCTATAGATGATATGAACATGTACTATAGATATTGTGTGAAATTAGTGGTACAAGGAGAGAGAAAAAGTCCTAAAAGAAATTTTCTGAAAACTATAAATAAAGATTTAAATATTCTTAACTTAACTAAAAATATGATTTTCTATGCAGTTTAATGGCAGCAAAAAATCCAAGTAGTTGACCCACATAGTTTGAGTCCTTTGGGACACTATGGCTTTGTTCTTATTGTTGTTGTTATAATTATTATCGAAAGTAAGCGAGGAGGTTGATGCTGATCCATTTGACTATAGCTGAAAACCAGGCTGATCCATAGCTTGATGAAACAGATTTATCAAATTTATCAAAGTTTATTTCTGAACAAATCAAGGAAGACTGATAGGACGATGTGGCTTGATCAGAGGATAAAAATACAATATCAAAGAATCAAATGTTAGGACATGGTCAGGGGCCACAGGGCACAAGTCAGTACTATATACTCTATAGGTCATGCAACAGAAAGTCAGTCTTGGTCATCCTTGCAGTGTGTTAAGGCCAAGAGCAGCTCATTACAATCAGATGAATCATTAGTAACCGTTGATGAGCAAGAGTTTGAGAAGGATGACAAGATTTTTCTCCCTCTAATGCCAAACTCCATGAACAATGAAAACGATATGGACAATAATGATGATGATGAACATAAATCATATGTCCTTGCAGCACAGAGAGATGGACAATGGACAAAGGAGTAAGAATTTACACTAAGACAGCTCATGAAGCTAGATCCACCATAAAAACTTATGAGGGCAAAGTCACAGACAAAGAGAAGCACTCGAGTTCATGTCAGACAGAAGTCCCTCCAAATCATGTCTTCCTGCCAGTATGAATTTCATAGACATGATATGAACAATTGGTTTCAGTTTGCTGAATTTGAGGTTCATAGGGCTCACAAAATGTATGTTGTAGCAGTTCTACAGGCCATCAGTTAATGGTCATAATACACAAAACTAGTTCCGTATTAGCAACCAAACAGCTTTACTTGCTTCAACATACCGACAAAGTGGTAACATCAGAACCAAAATTAACGATAAGATGCCATGACTATTACTAGTTTAATTGATGGTGGCACACAATCTATCAATATCAAATGTTGTGAGGGCAGTACCATTCATTGGTTCTACAAAATTATAATACTGATTTTCAACCATGTGACTTTGTGGACCTAGACCCACCTCCCAAGGCAGTATAGCATTTGTTTTGGTGGTAGTAGGGATGACTAGTAATAAGGTATGGCTTATATCACATATAACTCATGCATTTAAAGGTTTTCAACTTATATATTATGTATGGGTAAAAATAGGTAAAATAATAATTATAATAATCATAATAGGTCTTAAACACATATCTTGAGTTATTATTGAGATCAACATACATTAAAACAGGGCTTGGAGGGGGATGCATTTAGAACCACCAGTCCAATGTTGACATCTGTATGGGTCAGTAGACTCAGTAGTCAGTACGATTACCATATTGGACCCTACCCCAGACCACTAACAAAACTGGATGAGATTTGTAGCCAAGCTGCAAACATCCTGATTTCATGGTATAATAAACCAAAACAAAGTTCAGGAAACTATTAGTTATTTATAAAGGTCAAGCAAATATGATTTTGAAACTACTAATAAAACTGAGCAAAAAGTGCATTACACATGAAACCTACTAGGTCACCTACAATAACTCAAAAAATCAAGAGAGTAGTGAATCGAGCTTCAAAACAACCACTGATTGGGACTCGTAGAGATGATATCAGTGTTTTGCACAAGAATACCATCATAAACAGAGACATGAAGGATTCAAATTGATAGTCTACCACCGAGTTGAGAGTGGTATATTTTTATTGAATCTTCTCAAAGTTGACATATACAAGAATCATCTTACCCCTAAAAATACACATCTTAATAAGAATAAGCAATTAATATTAAAAGTCATCATCAGAATTGGACAATTCAGTCAACCTACAGAAATGTATCTGAAACCTTACCTGAAGTGTAACTGTATGATCAGAAACATCTACAGCTTTGGCTCTGAAAATGTCAGCTATATCTAGGATGTCCCTCCTAGCAGTAGTGTTTACAGCAACCTTTATAAGCATAAGTTCTCTTTCAGCAAAAGGCAAATGAGTTATATCTTGAACCTGAGAAATCCGTATGACTTGCTTTTAGATATGTAATTGGTCCAAACATATCAATTATATGAATATGTTTATGCAATATACCTCATGAACATCAATAAGCTTGTAAAGCTGCTGTACTAACTTGCCAATAGATCCATCAGTTCCAGGAACAACAGTAGTGATACGAGAAATGCCTTCCTTTTCAGCTGGGCCAACAGCAAGACTCTGTGGAACCAAGGAACTATTAAGCAAATGAACCAACTTCTTTTACTGACAAAAAAAATGAAGATTTGAACAGAAGAAACCTGAATATTGTAGCCTCTGCGAGCAAACACCCCAGTTACCAAGTTAAGAACACCAGGAAAATCATTTACAAGGATGGATAAAGTATGTGAACAGAGACCGCTTGGCTGGCTCAAGACAAATCATCAATAGTTAGAATCTGCAAACTGCAATTGAAACAACTAGAGACCAAGATTCTGCAAATAAGCATCCCAAAACAACCATAAGAATGATGCTAGTCAGTTACCATGATCAAGCATCAAAATCACACATATCCAAGAGTGAAAATTGACAAGAAAAAAGGGCAACACTGGAATAAATAAGGGAAGCAATTTATAATGATAATCCTGTGGAGAATATCAACAAAAAAAGGGTGTTTTGCTTTTATAAGGAGTTGACAAGCCACCAACAAAACTCTTATTGTTGCTATCATGATTAATCAGACTCATTGTTAGAATACAAAATTTTGAGTGGTTTCCAGAAACCTAGAGATCCACAAAAATAGACATAATAAAACAAACTGATATACATGCAATATAACTTCTCCAAGGTGGTCCAGCTACTGAATTTCTTTTTATGAGAAATAAGCAAAAATATTTGCAAAATTCTGATAAATTGATGAACTAATTTATCAATAGTTCTAATTCTCAGTCACCTTTTCCACTGAATCAATGGAATTTCAACCTTCTAAATGACAAAAGAGAAAAAAATCTAAATAAAAATTTGGTGAATTATGATACAACACCATAATAATCAGATCATGACAAAGTACAAACTAAGGAGTGTTAAGCCACATGCCAACAATGTGTCTGCCTGAATTGGTTCCACAACCCACTTGTCATGTGAGACACCATGCAGCTGCATCCTGGCCTAATATCAGTGAACACACCCACTTGATAACTGGCAGGAACATAGGGACACAATACAACATGCAGGTATCTTGCCCAAAAGATGTGTCATGCAACATCGTGGGCATTGGAATACTTGTCAGAAAAAGATTGTGAACTCTCCTACCTCAAAATAGATGCAGCAGTAGCCACATGAAAGCAGCCTGTGCCAGCATATAAAACTTCAAGTATGCCAGATGCTAATGATAAAATTTATGTGATTCTATAACTTAATCATCTGTGATCAAAATCATGAAATCCATTAACCTGTATCCAATGACACAATTATGCATACATCTCTATTATTTCTTCTTATTCATAAGTTTCCTAGAAGATTAGCATAAGTCCATGCTGTAATGATTAGGAGAAAAGATGAGACACTCACATCTTCATCATCGAGGATGCCCCAATGTGCATCTAGAACTTGATTTACCAAAAAACCTTCATATGGTTCCACTGGATAAACGTCTCCCTATACGAAATCCAAAACAATAGAAAAAATAATAAATAAATGAGAAGCAAGCAATGTAGCCCAGAAAATGAATATACATAGAAAAAGATAGAAATTTGATTGTGATTTGATGTCACATTTGTACAAATATGCAAAGTGTGTCTCCAGTTGCACAGATCATATATCAAGAAATGGAGCAATATCCTTGTTGAAACATACTTTTCTAGCAATTTTAATTGCAACTGTTGTTAGATGCCGAGGTAATAAACCCACAAAGCACACAATTTTTGTGAGTAAAGCAAAACATATAAATCATTAGAAAAGATTATAGTTGATGCTTTGTCAATTTAAAAAAAAATGAAGATAATTGCTGGAGGATGTCATTAGCAATACTCTATATTAGAAAGATATTTAGAATGCTGCATATCAGCTAGGTTTAGGGCTTATACATAGTAATATACATTTTTACGCCTATGCACAATTGCATATATGTGCACATGCATGCACATATTTGGAACCTTGCTAGAAATTGGACTATTGGAGACACATTTCAATACATAGAAAAAGAAGAATAACAAAAGAAATTTTCAATTTTGTTCCTTTCTTCTTTTGTAATTTGAAATTTTTGCAATCTTAATAAGTTATAATATCCAAGATTTCTAAAACTAGTCCAACAAAAAATCGGTAGTAGACCATATAGCTTGTAACTAGTCAATATTTAATTGTCTTATTTTCTTTAATGAAATTGGATTGCATAGATTAGTATATCATTTGGTATACCGGTACTTTGATGATCCAACGAACTATCAGAATAGGTATTTGACCAAGATTTTAAAGTTGATGATATTTACATGTACAAGAGACAATTTCTAGATCACAAAGTTTGTGTCAAGATGTACACTCTTGGCATGTCGTGAATAAGAATCAACAGTTACAGATTTTAAGTCCATGTTTATGGACCTCCAGAACTAGCATTGGATCCAGCAAATTTTAGTAGACAGTCAACTTATGATATCTTCAGAAAATGTATAAACACTTTTCTATAAGCCAAATGGTAATTCTAAAGGGACTCATGAAGCATAAAAACTCAAATATGCAAATAATAAGTCAATGGCATTTGTTCTTCTAGTTTCATCAAGGTTCACTTCCCTATCCTCCTCTAGAACTTTTCCATTGAGAAAACTAGTATTATTTTGAGGAGGATATACATCAGGAGTCTTGTCTTCTATTCTACCCCATAGTTCGTCACATGCTAATGGAAACTATTTTGATGATGACACCATTGCTCAAATGGTGGTCGATAGATCCGCTTGTAAATTTGCTTTTGATCATGGTAGTCATGTAGATATGTACCCCGAGGATCTTACATGCTATGGAAGAGTCCCCATGCCAGTGGTATGTGACACACAGCTTGCTGTCAGCAGCATGGAGAAAATGGCAAAAAAATTGACAGAAAAATAGAGTAAAACAAAAAGAAGTTTTTAACTCCAGCTTAAGATATAGGCATGGTAGTAATGTAAGATATAGAGTCATCAAGCTAGTAATGTAACATGCTGTGATGGCAATTTGCATGATGGTCCACACATCCGGAATGCAATTCTTGAACTTCACACCAACTACCCATTTCATTAACACATAAGTCCCACAAATGAGAAAGCAATCAACAATACTGAAAAGTGGTCATTATGCATTAAACTTTGGTCATACACATCATTGTATCTGGCTGAAAGTGTACATTCCAATTCTGTATCCACTTCCCTTTAGATTGGACTATAAAATACTAGTCAATGTCTATCCCATGATATTCAAATAAATTATCTGGCCACTGTAAACCCTATGTAAAATTTCAAAAAGTTGTCTTTTATGTATAGACTCAAAATCTGTGGACCAGTTTTTCCCATTTATTCGATCTCTTTAGCTTAATTTATTTACAAGTGATTAAAAGAGTTCCAGGGTCATGAATGAATTTCCAAAAATATATCATTCCCTATGGAATGGAGGCTTCTTGTTTGTCGGGTTCATTATTTCCAAATAGTCAATCGTGATAGGGTTCAGATGAAAAAATGATAAAAACCAAGGAATTTTCCTTCTATAATCTATTTTTGATTAAAAAGTGAAAAAATCACAGTCACGTACTCCAGAAGATTGCTCCAAGTTGCCATTAAATCTTGTATTTGTTGTGGACGTAAACAGAGGATTTGAAGGAATTGTGCCTTCAAGGTCTGGATATGAAGCAGCAGAGAACCTCCAGAAAGGAGCTGTTTGTCCCATCTTTTCACGCCTCAATGCAATCTGCAGCATAAAATATTCAGAATCCAATATTGGAGAGTATTTGTTGCTGCACAATTGAAAAAGGAGATTGATGGACAAATATATGTATATATGTAGAGAGAGAGGTCCATTCATCCAGTCCATATAGTGATGACCTTGCCAGTTCTAGCAATTTCATTGATTCCAAACTTGCTCAGATTTCTCTGAACTGCAACCATTTTCCCAGGATCTCCTGTTACCTGCATGCTTGTAAATTAATCACAGATAAGACTTTAAGTAATTATAGAAGTCCCATAAAGACAGCAATATTATATGCAGTCAAATAAAAATAAGGTTAAAAATTCTTGACCTCAATGGTTAGTGAATGTTCTGAAATGTCAACTACTTTTGCTCTGAATACATCAACCAGACCCATAACCTGCAGATTGAAGGTGACAAATATAAGAAACTAAACAATAAACTATACAGTTTGGTACCAATTAAAACTGATTTCACAAACTCCAGATGGCAATTGATATCCTCATTGAACTTGTAACTAGATTAAAAAAAGCACCAAAATGATCACATTGGTAAAGTAACTTCTAGGCTCCAAAACTTTATAGAATGAAGTTAGGTTGATTCCTCAGCCAAAGTAATGCAATAATGATCCAAAATTTAAAGCAAACAAAAAGATATATATATATATATATATATATATATATATATATATATATATATATATATATATGTAAGGTACAAATTCTTGCAATCTCAAGATAGTGGTTGGATTGCTTTTACCAAGACCCTCTCCCTCCACCCATTCCTTTCTGAATATGCTATGCACCTTATAGGTCATGTCATCTTACAATATATGCCACAGTTAAGCCTATAAGTTTCTTAGCAGAAGAATTTCTATTAAAGATGAACAAAAGTTAATAGTGGAATACCTCTGGGCGTTTATCTGGATCCACATTGAGTTTTATAAGCATCAATTCTCGTTCAACTTGTGGCTCTCGTGATAGATCTTCAACCTAGCAATTGAATGAAGTCAAATACCAACACAAACAAAGATAATGACAGGTAAAAAGGGGCCCCCTTGACAGATGTTCACCCTAGTAATTACAAGAAGTCATATATCAAAACATTTTTCCCTTTTTTGATAAATAACTGAGAGGATGAACAAATACATTATAGCTCAGAACACTTTCCGCCTTCAGTTAGTAATGCACCGAATATGAAATAATATCATTGGCTTGTTCAAATAATCTACCCCAACAACAGATCTGGCAGCATACAAATAAAACCAAATTTGAAAAAGAAAGTATTGGTCCATGAGTTGTACATGGCAAATATCAAAAAATCATCTGACAAGAAACTTATTTGAACAAAATGAAATCAAGCATTATAACTGGTCCTACAGAAACTTACCTTCAAAACATTTACAAGCTTATTAAGCTGCTCCATGACCTGTTGCAATACTTTATTGGTCCCAGAGACAACTATCGTGAACAATGCTTTGTCCTTATTCAAACCAACTGCAAGGGACTCAATATTGTATCCTCTTCTAGCAAATACCCCAGCAATGCGATTTATCATTCCACTTTCATCTCCAACGAACACAGAGATAGTGTGTCGTCTCACCCTATACTCATACAAGATGGCATTTTATCAATAGTTTCAACCGCTTCTACAAATAAGTGGAAAGTCAGAACAACTCATTTACAGAATTAGAACGGCAAAGTTGCTCTAATACATCAATCTTAAAAAATAATGCTACAAGAGTATCAAATCAGACACGCAAAACGCTAACATCCTCTTTGTAAAAATGCCTGAACATTTAGACCAAACCAACTAAAATCCACACTAGTACAATAAAATCCATTCTCAAGTGCAAGAATTCTAAAAAATATAGTGATCAGACACGCTGTAACATGTCTGACAAGGCCAATAGGCCCGATGGGGAAGAAAGGCAACATCAATTTCTCCGCTGATCATCAAGACTTCAAAAAATAAGTGCAAACATCATGTAAAGACTATAAATCACCTAGAATGCTTGGAAAATGCAAAAAAAAATGACAATAATGACAAAAACCGGACAAAACTTAGGAAAGGTGACAACTTTGAATATCCGCATAAACACTAACACACTAACAGCAGTAAACGCAACAAAGGAGGGCCTTTTACTTATTCCTAGGCTTAGTAGCCGGCGAATCGGTCACGGAAGCCACAGCATCACCGCTGTGCTTATCGGCGCCGCACGCGCGGATCTCCAGAGCCCGGTGCTTCGGCCTCGTCGATCCGAGCGCGAACCTGGAGAGATCCGCGGTCCTCGACAGCCCCAGCCCCAAGCCTATCCCGCGGTGGGTCCGAGCGAAGGGTTTCGTCGCCATCGAAGCGGGGGGGTGAGCGGGAGCGGCCGCCATAGCAAAGCGGAGCGAGCGAGGGTGAGGCGACGGTGGAGCTCGGAAGCGGAGACCAGAGACAGGCGGTATAGGGTTTTATTGGATTACGCATTCACCATATTACTCACTTTCCTTAACTAAATGACCGGTAATAGACTCAGCGTAGGACGAGATTGTCATGGGCAATTTGGTCATTTTATCGCTGTCGAAATTTTGTGTGGACAAGAAAGAGATATCAGGGGTCACGTGCGGTGGAAATCGAAGGTAAGCAGAAATCTGCCTTTTTGGAATCTTAAAGCATGATTGATGACAGTTAAGGCAGTTGGAATCTGACCTACCCAGGGTGGAATTTGGTGTGCTCCACTGAATCATTTAGGATATGCAATTTTAGCAACCAGAAGCATCTTTCTTGCATGTAAGTTATAATTTGTTTTATATTTCAATCCACAAAAAAAATCATCTAGCCAAGAAAAACCTAATAGAGACTGAGATGGATGATAATGGTTACATTAGATAGTATATTTTAACCTATGTTAATATAAATAATGGATTATGTCTCATCTATTAGCTTATAGCAATTAGTCAGCTTCAAAGGATAATTCCTATTAATTTTATTAATTATTGATTCAAAAATACTAAAATTTGTATTAATAATAGGAGATCCATCTAATTCTTATACGGATATTCAAGTCTTCTGACTTGATGTGCAGCTAATCCCATCCGTGAATAATCATTTGTTATTTGAACATCACTACACCAACTACTATATTAGGTTTGATATCATATGCCATAACATGATTAGATAAGATAATTGGCTCATCAGATCTATTGGTCAATGATAGTAGACTCATCTATCCCTTGCTATAATATCCACTTCCTGTAAGAAAAATGTTATAATAGTGAGGAACACATAGTCCTCTTGTTCCTATCCTTTTATCTGTTGCTGACATTGCAGAGAATCTACCAAAATGGTGTGGAAATTTTACTGCATCAAAGGCAGCAGAGATATCAAACACTTGTTCAAGTATTGCTCCATCAATTGTCACAAACACATTACACTGCTGACACCTTCATATCATACTGAGGTAATGCTACTCTCGACTCCATGAGATCTTTTGTTCTTCATGTCAGTAACATTTTAGCTGTAAGATGCCGACGTTTCAAGAGCTATTCACCTGAAGATTACAAATTTGATCCTTCCTAACTCCTGTAGTACGACTCAAAACGGCCTTATTAATCTCGAAAGTTCGATGAACTCATCGATAAGGTGGTCGGTCAAAGAGCTGATCTTCCAGAACAAGAACAGGAAGATTCAGATATCAAAACATGTTTTTAGAGTCACAACAGGTTGAGCTGGTAATCAGTGTCACAGTTATCCATGAAAGCTTTGTTGGTTTTATGGCCTTTTGGCTACCTAAATGTCAAACAGGAGGAAAGTTTGAGTTAACAAGATATAAACTTATCTGGAGATGACCAGAGAATTGCAGATGTGATTATTGCTGATACATGGCAGTATTTACTTGGAGGAATCAGTAGTTCTTTAGTGACTCCCATATGAGTTATCTCCAAGGATTTATATCTCGGTCTGACACTAATCTCAGTAATCTTTGGATCTATAAATACTAATCTGTACTGACTGAGACAATCGAAAATTGATTGCTCAAGCTCTTCAGAAATTGATTGCTCAATCGAAAATTGATTGCTCAAGCTCTTTCCAACAAAAACATCAGTTACCAACATGTGGCAAAGAATCTCTCATCCAAAGAAGAAAAATATCTGAAGATGATCCAAATTACTTGAGATAAAAACAGCAACAAATGGTCCAATGAGGTGCTACAATGGAAGAAGAAAGAAGAAAAATCTACATGGTGGTGGGCCTTAACGTTGTCATCTACTGGGGAAGTCACCACCAATGGATCGTGAAGGAACCTTATCCTCATCCTCCTCCCAGTACTGTTAAATGGCTGTGTCTTCTCTCCCTCACCAAGCATAGCAAGCAAACCACCTCCCAATCAAGATGCAGGCAGCAGCAGCTGTGTGTTTCGCTGGTTCATTGCCCCTCAGGAGCACCAAGGCAATCGCGCCCAGGTCATCCAAGCCACGCAGGACCTTCCACAAGTCCAGGGTGGTCGCCGCCACCGCACCAGAGTCCTCGACCATCGATTACAGCTCCTCCACCTCGTGAGTCTCTCTCTCTCCTAGCTTACAAACTCCGTTTTCTTCATCAAGAATTATATAGCTTCGAGCGGTGCTTGCATGCAGTGTGTTTCCGGTGGAGGCTTGTGATGTAGTTGGTGGAGAGGCGTGCAACGCGAAGATGTATCCTGAAGTGAAACTCGCCGCGGCGGCAGCGAGCAGCGCCGACTCCAGGGCGGCTTCGGAGGAGGCCGTCGACAGAGACTACCTCGAGTACAACGATCCCAAAACGTACCATCTTCCGTGCTTTGCTGACCATTAAGATTTTGCTCTTCTGCTGAAACATGCTGATACTAAATGGATTGTGCATGCGCGCAGTGTGTTCCCTGGAGAGGCATGTGATGATCTCGGAGGAGAGTTCTGCGAAGCGGAGTACCAGGATGGTGTTTACTAGGGTTTCTGTAATCGGAATCACAGCATATGAACGTGAAGCTCTGTTAAAAGAGGAACAGAATAAAAGCTCGAACATGTTCATGATATCCACTCTCTGCAGCATTCTTCCAACTAAATATGGCATGCATGGTTGAAATGCTAGAGAAAATAGATCAAATGATGATGATGATGATGATGATGATGCAAATGGTTGCTCTCCATAATATGTCCACAAGAAAAGGAAAACATAAAAATAAAAATCGAAAAGAAATAATCTGTATGTATGTGGTAAAAAAGCTTAATTTTATTTGATTGCAACCTAATATTTGATTCAAACATAATCTTTCACTGTACTGCAACACTTTTAGCATACGGATGCCCGCATAGAGACATTGCAGCAAAATCCAAACTCGCACGTCTCTGCCTTCAAATGTGTCGGCTCCACGTAACGTCGGTGGGCCCGAATTCCATCTTCGGATATGAGCCGTCCGATCATATGCATATGTGCCATGAAAATAATTGAATTGGATCTAGTCCCCCTTCTGCGTGATCCCCTGTATTGAGATAAGCAGGGTACAGATATTTGAACCCAGTATTTGGACGTCGATGGAACTCGATTCTGACGTGAGGTGTGGAGAGTGGCGGTAAAGGAGGTGTTTCCTGTTTCGTACGAGACAGAGAGTTGACCTCCACCCGGTTTATTTTCTTGCTTCAGAAACCTTTTGCTATATCTCTTCTCGGCTTAACCATCGTTTTTGCTCTGTGTTGGTCGTTTGTGGAGTTGGGCGACCCTCGACACCCTTCGCTTGGACTGGGCGAAGGTTTTGTGGAGATTCACCCAAAGGGAGGCGGATTTCCCAGTGGCAGTCGTGTCTTCCGATAACTCGTACCTCCTGATCGAGCCGATTCGCTCGCTTCCTCGACGTTCTCAGTGGATTTTCTTTCGATCCGGGCGTGTTTCCCGTCCCTAATGGGTAAAAACCAGGCTTACAAGGCGATGCAGAGGGCGAGGCTGGGGTCGTCTTCCGCAGGGCCGGAGGAGGTCGAAGACGGAATGGTTTGTACCTTTTCATACCAAACCCTTCGCTGCTTAAAATTTAGATTTTGTTGGAGGATTTTTTATGTTTATGTTGCGGTTGAGCGACTCCCCCTTTTGGTTGTAGGAATCGACCCTGATTTGAATGTTAAATGGATATTTTTTTTTCTGGCCCTTCTGGATTATGCTCAATTTGCTATTTTCTAGCTTCTTTGTTTTATCTGAATCTTTGCTGCTGTAAAGTTGTAATTTGGCTAGTTTTATTAGTTCGATAATTTGTTTGGTATTTCATTTACTTTTCATAGTTGTTATATAAGCAAAAATATGTTTAAGGTGGCACTGATTTGTTATGGTCCGAACATTTGAACTATTGATGTAAAGCGGAGACCAGAAAGGTGTTCTCTTGAGTTTGATGCATTTTATTTGCTTGCAACATACGGCTTACATGTATTTTGTATCAAAAACCTTAGTACCCTGTATTTGGTAGTAGTATGTTTCGGTTTGCATAAGGTCTTATTAGTTCACAATTTGTCCCATCAACTTCACTTTGAATAGAGTATACGGGTTTTGGAAATCACGTTTAGTAATTATGTGGCTTTTGCTGAACTAAGCATAGGACTTCAGGCCACTGAAGTGCATTTCAGTGGTAAAAACTTTTGGTGAACTTGAAAGACCCCTAGTCATAGTTAATTGCATCTATTGAAGGTCTTATATATGGTTGGTCGAGTTCTGAAAGTACAAAAAGTTTAGGGCTTGAAGCTTTCCCTTATATTTGCAAATTCTTTTGAATTTATTCTTCTAAAATTTTTTCATGCTTGTGGACCTTGATCTTCCCTGTGAGTGATTAGGTGACTTTCTTGTAAATACACAAATTGTATATGCTGTAGAATGACTGGCCTCTTCCATGGATAATAGCTTTGTCAGTCATTTGCAGTAATCAGTAACATCTCTTAATTTCTCCTACTTTGTAGGCTTGAGGGTTTTTATTTCTTTTAGATCTTAGTACATTATCATTTGCCTTTGATTTGAGTAATAATTCTCATCTGGTAACATCCTTTGAATTAACATGTCTCTATTTGGTGCTTTTACCTTGTATTATTTACTAATGAGGACCATCACAGACGGATGGTTCATTTCATACACCAGAGTGGCATGCTGCTCGTTTGGCCAACCTAAAAACGTCTCACACCATAACATGGGAAGAATTTAAGAGGAAACAGAAGGTAAGACATTCTCGACATGGCTACCACATTTCCTTAAGCAGTAATGCAAGATACATTTTTGACTCTTTCTTTTCTGAACTTGTTCTTCATGTTGTGTAGATTATCATTAATATGTTGCTTACTTATGTGCACTTATTTTGGATCACTAAAATAAAAGCTTTTTGATCTAGATCATCTTAAAACTAGATCATAAGAGAATATGAAAATTGCAACTATATGAAAATTGACATTTTACAGATCCCAATAATGGCAAAAGTTCCATGTAGGTGATCCCAAGTAGTTGGGACTTACGTTTTTGTTGTTGTTATCGTTGTTGAAGAATTACCTTATTTTCTTGGATATCAGGGTCTAGTTGCAATTTGTATAGTCATTCTTTCATTACTTGATTTATATCATTATATTACTTTTTTGAAGATTTTTTTTTAATTTTCAAATTAGACTTGCACTATGTTATCATTGTTATTTAATGGATTCATTATATCCTTTATGACAACTAGCTTGTTTTTTCACATATTGTTGCAAACATAGAATGATATTTCTGTTTTATATTTTTTTAATTTTTCCTTATCAAGCGTAAAATATGGAAGTATCTTACTTTTTGTATATGCTCTTTTAGTATATTTCTCATTGTATTCGACTTGTTTGGTTTATTTGAGAAATTTTCGTCCCATTTCTCCAATGGCTACAATTTTTTTCCAAGTTCTTATCATTCTACTGGAATGGATGAATTCTGGTTCTGGGTTTTTGTCCAATGAGGAGCTGTAATGCCTATTTTACCAGAAAATTACTCATTATTGTGCATGACCCTATTGAACATCAAGGACCATATTGATGGTTCCAACTTTAGGCAATCATAGGACTACTAAAATGTAAAGTAATTGCTTGTTGTACTTCCTGATTCTCATATACAAGACTTTGTATGACAAATAACCACTAGGAAACTCCAAATGCATTGTGATTAGGTCGGTTTTTACATTGTTTGTAAACTTCTTTGGACTATCATCTGATAAGATTTTTTGCTGCAAATGATTCTGTAGGTTTTTGAATTAACTTTATGAATTTAGCAAACAGTATCTATGACGTCTTCTTTACTGTTGAGGATTAGCACATGCAGAATGATGGTGTCTGACATTGTAGATATGGTCACTCAAGTTTTTCATATTATTTCATTGATTTGACCTAGGAGATCAATTTATGAATGGATGTATGAAGCACCTGGATGGAAAACCACTCCATTAACAATGTGTATGTATGAAGTGTCTCCAAACAGAAATTATTTCTTTCCATGATTGTTTACACTTTGGAGAAGGGCTTCTCTGCTTGGAGGAAGAGAAATTCCTTTAACCATGAGCTATTGGGACTAAGAACTATATTAAACTAATATTGCTATTGAAATAAAAAAGCAGCAGCATGTTTGTACACCCTGGAGGATACAGACATTTATAGTCCAAGCTAAGAAGTTAGCGGCAGAAAGCGGGAAAGTCCCTAAAATTCCCTTTGAGCTGGATTGATATCTCAGCTTTCTCCTATTACATATAAGAATCCCTTTGTGTTAGAAAACCCCAGTGAAAGCTGTCCCCTGGTTAAACCAGGGCCTCCTTGGAATATCTCCTTTTGCAACTTTTGTGTAGAAATCTGCTCCACATCTGGTAGTTCTCTCGATAATGTGTTTGTTCTCAACCTTTAATATAAGTTTGTTTGAATTTTCTGTTTGCTGGTTTCTTGTTTGATTGCCCATTAGCTATAACTATGGTTGATTACTCCTCATGCTTCTACAATCTCCCAAGGAGTTGAAGTTGTGACCCCTATATGTGTTTCTATGTACAAATACTGAATACGGAGGTATCTAAAATCTTGTTCTGTGCAGTATTCTTAAGCTAGCTGATTGAATCTTAGAGTTTAGGAATCAATTCACCTTTTGTTGAATCCTGTTAATACGTTAACTCTTTTAGGACAGTCAAATTAATTATATATAACCTTATTTTGATCCTTCCATGCTATCTTCTACATCGTAACCTATGAATGAGATGTGAAAAAAGTTGATTAGGATTCTATGAAAAAAAGTAATGCATAGGTTAAGAACCAGATGTAACATAATATGGCTCAAACTTTTACGTAATATTAGTTGAACTAATTCTGCAATAGTTTCAACATAAATATGATCATCAGTAAATCTGCTGTCTTACAATAACTTTGATTTTGATATGGTTTTCTGAGTTCAATTTCTTACTTAAGTGTGTCATGAATGCCCAATGAAAATCTTGTTAACAATATCATGACAGTATTTCTTAACAATATCATGGCAGTATTTCTTCTTGTAATTCTGGTGACAATATGTTGCTCTTGTTTTTAGGAAGATGAACTCAAAAGAGATGAGCTTGAGGCTGATAAGGATAGGATGATGAGAGAATACAGAGCTCAGCTAGACGCTGAAAGGGCCAGGAAGCTGTCCCTTGGAAAAAGCCACTCTGCTAGCAAGTCACATCGCAAAAAAGGTAGGAAATGTGGTTTTTGCAATGGTATGGGGCTTCATTGTCCTGACTGTATGTGTTTTTCGTTGTCTCTGGTAATAACAAAGTGGACTTTGTTCATGCTATTCTCTTTTTTTTTTTTTTGCTTGGCACATTTTTCAAGGAATATCATCATTGCCTTGTCATCATGATTCAGACAGGAAGGATAAAGATTCAAAGAAACGAAGTTGCAGGAAGAGGAAGGTACTTCTGATTCTAATTCACCTTTCTATGTTCACATAATTTTTTATTTCCTCTTGAAATTGATGTTGCTAAGATTGTGCATCCAGGCCCTCCGGATGATGCTTGTTTCTTTTCTTGTTCTGGGTACTTAAATCATTCAAAGTGTATGTGTACGAACTTCTGATAACTTGTAGAAAACATGATCTAAGTAGAGAACATTCAGAAATTTTGTTTCAGTTTTGGAAAACAATGATATTTATATATGTGTATCAAGAACAATAGGAATATATGGAAGTTACTCAAGGTGCAAACTTTTTTGTGAAAATGCAATATGTAGGGTCTTAGTTTGATGACCGTAATTAGCTAAGGAGTCTTTGATGGCACTATTTATTATTAATTAACTACTGTGTCAGATATTTCATTTAATCTTGCTATATCTCCATTAATGTTTCATTACTTAATCATGCATTAGATTGATTGTATAACTGGTAGAAGCTTCATATACAAATTGAGACCTGTAGACAGGTGCGATGTTTTAAGCATAGTTGAAATTATCAAAGCTCTGTATATATAAATGTATAAAATCCAAATTTGTTTTGCTTTTCCTTATAAAGGGACATTTATGGGCAATTTTGTTTTGATGTCCACAGTATTTTCTCAATGATAAAATCAAGAATTTTTCATTATAAGCTCCTAGTGTGTGCTTTCTGGTTTATTGCTTTGTTAGTAGTTGAATTAGTGAGAAGCATATCACCATCTTGCTCATCATATTTTCTCACATGTTTTGGATATCCTTCATTCTTTATTATCACCGTGTAAGATCTGCATTATAATTGCCATCGAGTAGCTCCTGACCTATCTTTCCATTCGGATGTAAATTCCATAGCACAAAAGGTCCTCCGAGTCAAGTTCCTCCGGTTCATCATCTGAATCGTCAAGCAGTGATGATGATTATGACGACAGTGAAAGGGAACCAAACAGATCAAGATCGAAGAGATCAAAGAAGAAAAGGAAGCATAGGTCAAGGGTCAAGCACTCTAGCAGTGACCACGAGGAGAATGGTGGACCAGTCCGACTCTCGAAGTTCTTCGGCAGTGTGAAGAGATAGAAAGACAACGTATATCTATTTTGGGTCATCACTTTGCTGTAAGGATGGCTTCATTTTCTTTGAAATTTGTTGGCCTACTCTTGTATTACTAACTTGCAATACTGTGTTCTCATATTGGATGCTACCTGAGGAAAAATCTATGTATGACTCTGCATGTAACAAACACCTATGCCATTGCTTTACGATTGGAAGTCCTTGGGAAGTTGCTTGTGATGGTAACTCAGCTAGTGTTTCTTGTCCCTATCTATCATTAGGGCATGTCAAGTTTTTGACTGCTTTGGTTATCTAATATGGTACCTCCCACTGTGTATTTTTGGAGCAAAATCGAATTACAAAAGAAAAAAGTCAACATAAGACTTTAAATAAACCAACCATTTAGTTAGTCTAGTAACATAAAATACATAAATATATATGGAAAGAGAATCTCCTTGTTGATGAGATGATGTGAGGTAATCGAACAGCAAAGATTAACTTAACACCTTCCTTGGAGAGTACGAATGGTGTCTACTAACATCGTTAGGGGCTAGGATGATTGTTGTGGAAGAGGAGAGTGACGGTAAGAGATGATGATCGTTTTGTATACGCATTGATGTTGATGTAGTTGTCGAGCGATCCTTTTGTCGCTTTGCATCCATGTTAGCGATCTTTACATTGCTCGACAATTACATCGACATCGATGCAAAGCAACATCACTCGATAATTACGTCGATACTAATGCAAATGCAAAGCAGCGAAAGAGTCGCTCAACAACTATTTCAGCATTGATACAAATGTAGAGTAGCCCTCATCTCTTGTCGTCGCTCTCCTCGTCCACAACAGTCACATTCGATCCCCAATAACACTGTCATCCATCACCACTAAGTAAAACATTAAAATTATATTTTTATCCTTTGATTTCATGTTTTTGTTGATAAAGCCGATGACGTTAGGATAAATGGACATAAATATTTCACTTTCGTAATTATAGAGATGTCAATGTAACCTTTTAAAGTGTATAAACCGATATGCTAAAGGTAACCAACTACATGTGATAATATGTAATTAGCCCCTAAGGAGATAATCGAACTCATCATCTAAAGGTGAAATGGACCGTTGAGATCGACACACCAAAGCGATGCATGGATCGAACTCGATAGATGCTTGGGCGGGTTGGTAGACGATACTATGAGACAATGGAAGTCTTCAATTTCTTTAATATAACTAAAATAAATCTAAATGCTACGAGAACAAGCACAAGTAGCACTAACGTTCTAACACCACTGCACATCCAGAACCCAAAGAATTCAATGCAAAAACAATCAAATGCACAGCACTAAACGCAAGCCCTGTGACCAAGTAAAAAATGTGGTATAGTTTGTAGTAAAAACGAGTGATTATATTTTTGTTACGGTTACTGCAGTACAATTGACTCCTAGTTTGTACTTTTTTTCCACACATGGATTTGTTGGTCCCATTTCATTGACTGAGGCAGCAGGGAATATTGCCAAACAAATAAAATGATTGGTTGGATTTGACACACAAGTACACTGTTGCTGATGTAGATCGAGTGCCATCATGCCCAACAAGCCTGTCTTTTCTTCCCAAGCATGCTCTTCTCTTGAATCCATGCCACTGTAGCTCCACTCAGATCTGTGTTCTTTTCTTCAAAATCTTCATGTTGCATCTGCTGAGACTAGTAGAAGAATCATGGAGTCGAACAAGCAAGACATGGTGGTGTGTGTAGATTCCATCTCCCTATTGCCAGTGTACCCATCTTGCTTTGTATGCACATCTCTCTCTCTCTCTCTCTTGATATATATACATATATATATAGATAATTTTTTGGCCATACCTTTTAATGTCTTATCTTATATATATATTTTTGTATTTATTCCTATCATGCATCTTATTCAGCTGGGAGAGTAAACACTGACCAATTAATGGCATGTGAAGCCAAGTATCCAAAGATGATGTGAGATTTATGGATCACAGTAGTGATCCATCAATTTGGTGAAGCATTTAGTGACTCCTCAAAAATTGAAGGCCTAAGTTAATTAATTCTCCAGTCGAATTTACTATGGAGTGACAGTTTGTGTAGAATATGGATAAAGAACAACCAAATCTATGCCTTGGGAGTTTGAGTAAATGACTTGTTACATAAATGCACACTCCATATGACCAGTAATCATATGCTCAAGCAATAAAACAACAAACATGGTGAATGATTTCTTGGTCAAACTCAACTTGTCGTCAAGTGAATACACTCAACCCAAATTTAGGCTTGTCATGTAGCTCAACCCAACTCCTCTACCCCAGAAATTAAGGACTTGAGACAAAGCATGTTTGTGTCTTATTTGTGCCCAAAAACCTACACATAAAGAATCTTTTGTTTGGTACAACAGTGTTGTGATAAACCAAGTACAAAAAATTCCCATTATTTTGTGGCTCTACTCTCTCAAGAATGAGCAGTGAGAGAAAGAAAAGAGCTACACATTCATGTCTTCAAACAAGAAAGACTACTTGATGTTAGTAGTCTCTCAACCATCCACCTTCTTTATTATGTGAAGATCCACAATGAGGAACAAGATGAAAGAGAGTAGGAGAAGGAAGTAGAAGCAGCAGCAGCAACATCATGATAACTTGTTACACCTGCAAAGATCTGAGAGCTAGTCTTCTTCGGCCATTGCCATTCTGCTGAGAGGACTTGGCCCGACCTGTCTCCTCCTCATGGCATTCCTCCTCCTCATGAACTCCATCTGGTTCCTCCTCCTCAGTTGCATCATGGCTTCCTCTTCCACCACGAACCTCCTCATCAGCATGTCATCCGTCAGAGACTTCCCCCTGAACACCCTCCGCCCCTCGACGGAGGTTCTGGTGCTCGATACAAACCTCCTCTCCGGTGGCGGTGCCGCCGCCGCTGACGACGACGACTTCGACCTCGGACCGCTGTAGCTTCTCCGCGGCGGGACTTCAGCTCGAAACACCTCGTTGTAAGAAGAGATGGGAGCACACAGACACGCCCGAGTGAATGAAGAGGCTACCTTGAGGGAGCTGCACTTTCTTAGCTTCTGCTTGTTGGCATCGGCAGGGACTCCATTAGGCTTGGCTGCCGAAGACCTCGTCACTGTCTTCCATAGAATTATGACCTCCATCACTCTACCATACCATTGCATCCTGCAACATGGGCAAGCAATGCATCGGTCATCATCTCCAGAGTGTATCAGGAAAGAGGGAGGAGTGGAGATTCATGCTTGCCTTTTCTGTGGGTGCTTCTGCTCCTGCATCAGTAGCGAGTGGAGAAACATGGGAGAGTCGGAGTTGTGTCCTCTTCTTCCCTTTATCGTAGGATGCTTTTGCTTTGGCAGGATTCCTTAGAATGAGGAAGAGATAACCTTCTTATAATCCAACAAACAAGTTTGAACTGGCAGACACTGTTTAAGGCCATAGATCTTATCTGACATGAGCTAATCTAACTCAGGTCAATGCCGTTGGTCTAACCACAAGCACCAAAAGATCAACCGAGCACAAAAATTGGACGTCAGTAGAAACCCACGCAAAGAAGCACAAGTGACGTTTGAAGTGAGACATACGCTGGAAATCATGGGGAACAATCTCATTGCCATATTGTCACGGACAAACTTCTAAACAAGGTGTTTGATGTAATGCTTATGTATGTCCGTGTCGTTTGGCATGTTCATGCCTTGTACAGAATGTAAAGGGGCGGCCGAAGGCTTAATAGTCCCATTTTAGTTGGGTTGGTGGCCTCTTTAGGCTTGTAAATAAAGGTTGTGTCATGTAGACACTTGCGAGAGCTTTTCGGTCTGTAATGGACCATTTTACCCTTTGTTGTGCCACTGTTCAGAGCTTGTAATAGTCTGTTTGTAATTTGCATTGTCTATGAAGTGTTTTTCGGAGATGTTTGCTTGTGGATCCCGTTGGAGGCGTTCTCTCTAACCCGTTCTCTCTTTTGGTGGTCCTAAGGGACAATGGGAGGCTTCGGGGAGGCTGACCTTTGCGGACGGACGCGCGAGGGTGCCGCACGACTTAGGCAAATCCAGCTAAGTCCGTGTCAATATGGTAGGAGTAGGAGTAATGGAGGAGGTGAAGAACACAGAGTCTGTATCAGAAACATTGATAGTTGTCAGTGTATGGCATCAGGATTTATCTTTTTGGTGTCGTGATGACCAAAGAGTGAGAATAGTCGGAGGGAGGGAGAAAGAGAACACGATCACTGTACATGGTTGCTCTGTATGACAATTAAGATCCCAGAATGCCCTTTAATCTTCAAAGCAGAATCCTTCAAAGGCTGACAAAGTTTTACTTGTTGAGGGTTGAAGCTTTTCTCGAGTTATATGCTTCGATTACATCGCTTCAGTCAGAGAAAATTATTCTCGGTTGCTCTGTTTGCGTCATTCGGAATCAAAATAGTTCAAACTCTCTCTCTCTCTCTCTCTCTCTCTCTCTCAAGTGTAATGATGAAGACCAGTTACTGCAAGACATCTTAAATATGGTTAATGTACTTCATCAAAGAACCTTTGTTGTTTTCTTCCTTTGGACACTTGAACCTCAAAAAAAATGTCCTACTTTTGCCTTTCACTTTCAACTTTATCCCAACATCCATATTAAAAGCTCATGTCAATTGATAACACAGGATCTGGTTCATGTTTAAATGACTCGAATTGAAATCTGAACTGATCAAATACATATTTGCTTTAAAGATGTGTGGCAAAGAGAAGATACCATCAATGTCATTGCATCTAAAAATTTTTGTATTCTCAATAGTTTCTCTCTCCAATAAAACTTTGGTCATGAATCTTGGAGTCTTCTAACATTTATGAGTTTGATGATGATGTTGATGAACTCCAGGATGCTTGAAATGGGATTAGGAAAAGATTTAAGGTGGAACAGATAATTGTAGACTTGCACTTGGACACAGTAGCAGCTAAGGACAAGCCAGTATAACATACAATTCATGTTACTGGTTAAAACAAGGATACAGAGATCAACAATGCAAGATCCTTTGTTGATTCACAAGCTGTGATCTTACATCCAGTGACATCATATTCTCATTGCAGATATTCTGAGTCATATTGCAGGATACTTCCTAATTTGGTCTTGCACACACTGTAATAATAATGCATGGCCACCATACCATATAGGAATTTGGACTAGGAAGGATGTGCCAAACTTTGGAGAGGTTTTGAGACCTCTCTTCTACCACCATTTTTCCCTAAGACAAAAAGAAGAATATTAGACATTTTTTTGTTGCTTCTGTTTGTATCATCATCTCCGTCACCTCTGTAACTGTTCATTTGCATGTAGGAGAACCTGCTATCTCTAGTTTTATAAGCTGCCTTTGTGATCTACACAAATAAGAACACAAACATTTATCTTTGCTTCAAGTTAAATTCTGATTAACTACCATTGAACTCTATAAATATTCATATCCCTAATCAAATTAAGAGTACTGAAATCCTTATGTTGAATATTTTTAGATCTCTCTCTATCTCCTTGTCATGTGCTTGTTAAGTAAAATCTTCTGCTTCAAGCGAAAGAGATTCTTAATAGCTGATAACACAAATTGTAATCTTTTACAATTGAACTCTATAAAGTAATTACATATTTATGTAAATTTATTTAGCTCTTCCTCTATCTCTCCTTCTATCACCTATGCTCATACCATCCTAAATTACCTTTCCTCATTTTATCTGCTACGCCTAGTTGTTCCTAATAATTCTTCACATCCACTTAATATTCTCATCTTGACGAATACAAACTTGTTATATATATAATTTTTTTAACTGAGCCAAAAGCCACACAAGAAAATGCATTACCGGAAGCAGGGAAGGCAGCAACCCATGCAGAAGGCGAAGCTTGAGACTGGTCAAAAAGAGCAGTGTTTCCTGGCTTTACCCCTTTCTTCTGCACATCCAAGCAGTCCAGGCTGCATACATTATTGCAGCTCACATGCCAACTTGCATGGACTCGTTGCATCCACCTGCTGTCTCACAAGTAGATATTTGAAGGCAGGAGTGTTAGGGGAAGAAGATTCTCAAAAAAGAAAAAGAAAACGTAAATGAAAACAATATATATAGGGCTTCGTTTACTGCAGAGAAAATCTCAAATCCTTTGCCATCTAAGAACAATAAATTACAAGAAAAAAGATTGTATTGAGAACACAAATTTACTAGAGAAGAAGTCTATTAGCCAGATCTTGAGATACATAAAGCATTTATAATGCAACCAATCATTAATCTTCTCCAAGCAAGTGAAAACCTTTTCAAATTTATATCTTTTATCCTCCGCACAATAGTTTTTAATAAAGAAATTTTAAAAGATTTGCCAATCCCATTAGTAATGCTAATGTTCGAATTCTGCGACCAATATGAGTTTTTACTTAGCAAGATTGGTTTGGTTGCTTATAAGATGAGAGCAAAAAAAAAGCTGGAATTCTCTTCTATCCATTGTTTGATTGAGCTGCAAGGAGACAGACCAATGAAAATAAAAGTCAAAACTATTCCAAACAGCTTAACATAAAATATCTTTTAATAGGCAACACCATTTCAGACGTCCTTACAAGCTAAACTCTTCAGTAATTTTCTTTTAACTCGAATTGGTTTGCCCTTTTTTTTTCATTCCCTTTCCTTTGAAACCAAACAAAGCATTGAAAAAGAAAATTAATATCCTGATATTAAGAAAAAAATTCAGTTGAGTTACCACTAATCCCAATAGTTAAAAGCCAATAAGAAAGGAATGACCTTATATTTAAAGCCTAATCTAATTTTCTTGTACATGCCACATGGTTACAGATGACTAACAATGAAGAGTTCCAACATCAGACATCTCAAGCATGCATGAAATCCAGAAGTTATATAAATCAAGATAGATCAAGCGTACCTTTGAATTTCTTCATCTTCATTTCTGAAAATGATTAACCATGTAAGAGCACAAACTCCTGCTCAATCAAGCACTATTAGTAGCCGACCAAAAGCGAGCCCATCGAATTCACTAGCGCACAAGTACACATACATTAAAATGCATGAATAATATGTCCAAGAACGATACAAAAATATGTTAATGCTGCAACGTATTCACTCTTGTATTGGTTGCATTGAGATAATAGTCACATGTGTCGAATTAATTATATTGTGACATGGTCTCGGCGCTTGTTCTTCTTTTCCATAAGTTCATGAAAACAGTTCAAGAGATTAATCTCATTCTCGGTTCTTAACAAAAGAAGAAGATTGATTGTTATGAAGGGCCGTATGCATGTAATCTTACCCCTGATTGTACAGAGGTTGTTTCCACAATGCCAAGATCATACTGTTGTGCATCTCCCGCGATCTATTGTTTACTAAAGCTCTTAGTTTTTGACCACTTGATTTCAAATCAGTGCTACTGATCCGGCCTCACCTGGATAGACTCAATGGAAACATAAGATCCTTATGGTGCCACGCCAAACCTAGGCCAATAGAAGTCCACATAAAACATGTCAAACTTTATCAGTGAAAACCCACACAACTTCGATGTACAATAAAAACATACTGTGAAAATAATCTTCAAAATATAACACAAGAATTTTGGCAGATACACATTTGTCTGCACAGAATTGTTAATAAACCAACCATCCATCAAGAGGACAACTGCAAATTAATTTTCACCATGGGCGTCCGAAGCTTGAGTGCATCGTTTCTTCAGAGTTTTGATATAATCAATCAAATCACAACCAAGGTTTTGAATACCGGTCTGTATCAACATACCGAGCTCTACTCGGTACGATACGTACCGATATGTATCATCGGTACATCCTAAAACCTTAAAAATATCTCCACCTACCACGCTAGGACGTACCGACTAGTACGCCTCAATAACAATCGAAATCTGAGGCGGTATCAGTCGGTACGCTTCAGTACCAATCAGTTTGCCTCGGTACCGCTCAAAACACTGGTACTGCCCGGTAGAAGACAGTCCGTGTACCGATATCCTCTCAGACTGGTATGTATCGCTCGTATCGGGCGGTACACATCGAAATTGAGAACCCTGCTTTCACAACACAACCTCAAGCTTCTCCGAATCAGCTAATGCCAGCTTCATCAGCAACCCTGTGATGAATTCATCTGAACACACTACTCTTTAATTTTATTCAATCATGCATCTGGAAAACCATGAACCTGAAGTGATTATTCAACTTCTTGTTATAAATTTGTGAAAACTTCATACTGACCAAATCAAGTGACCAAAGTGTGGTTTTGCCATCGGAAGGTAACAATTATAGGGCAAAACATGAAAGACCTTGACCTTGCAGAATGGCTAGCCTAGCAGGATTAACCAATGTCATCAATACCAAAGTTAAATCAACAAATAGTGGCAACACTGTGAAAGCATGTAATCCAACATGTGAAGAAATAGCATCTTGTATTCTAATAGAAAATTAGGATACAAGATAGTGCATCTCCAGATCTCCTAAGGTGCAATCCCATGCCTTACAACCATTGAAAAATGAAGCATGTTTCCTGGGGAAAGTTGTAGGATCTTACAGAGAATCAAAATAAGCCTCGAAGTTTGAAATGCTATCCATGACAATAGATTAACTTTATATCATGTATCTGGAAAAACCATGAATATGAAGTTATCATTCAACTTGTTGATACAAAGAGTTTGCAAAAACTTCAGGTTGTAGACCTGTCTATTGTCTTTCTGACATTCCTGTAGTTACCATACCAAGTCACCAAAGTATGGATCACCATTAGAAGGCTCCAAAAATGAGAAACATAAAAAAAGACCTTGACCTTTGCTGAATGGCTAGCATAGCAGGATTAAATGATGTCATTGAAAACAGAGTTAAAGCAACAAGGACTAGCAACACTGAGAAAAGAATAATCCAGCATGTGAAGAAATAGCATTACAGAATAGTTGACATGAAGGAAATTGTACCTGGGAATCATCAAGAACTGCATCCACCCTAGACTTCTGGCTCAGATATCGAATTTGACTCTTCTGATAATTTGCCAGCATTGGGAGTTCCTACTGTTCCTGAATCCTGATCAAATTGCCTGAGCTCCAAAAAGAAGTCTAATAAAAAACCTGCAGAGAGAAAATTCTTTGCAAATTCCTCAACCATAGTAGTCAGTTGAAGCACCTTGAAACAAGACTCCTGTATGAAACCAGAGCCCACATAAGTGTGACTTTTTGAATGCAGAAAAATCCCTAGTGCTTTCATTAATTAGTTCTTACAGTTCTTGTGAAGCAAAAGGTCCTAATTCATTATTGATCTGAAAATTTCTACTCTATTTGGAACCTTGTTTGCTACCTGCTTTTGTCAGTGCACATGACAAATGCATTTGCAGGAAAACTTGCACGACAAAGAGGAATAATTTCTCTAAACATAAATTTAAGAGATAATCCTGCGGCTAATAGCTATGTTACAAATAAATACAATAAATATTTATTTCAACATATTATGACTTTACCAATTTTTGACTTATGTTGAACTGCATGCGGGCATGCCAGCTAGCACAACATAGAATCATACCATGTCAAAAGATATACATGCACTCATGCCATGATATGACGATCTTTGTTTGCAGATGTTGTAACTCGACCTCAAATCAGCCACAGCTGCTCTAATGATGCAATCTATTTTAAAAATATCTGGCCATGTAAACAAGATATCGTTTACCAACTTTATTTATCAAATTTCAGGCATACCATAACACGTACAGTGTTCAAGAGCATAACATAGAGAAGTACAAATCTAAGGAAGCTTATTGACTAAAAAAACTCATTTGCAGTACATTTAAGGTGTACAGAAAGAAAAAAAAAAAAACATAGTCACTATGTACAGGCAGCTCCTTGAGCATTTTACTAATAAACATCATTCGTCTCCATTTTACAACTAAATATGTGTACATGTTACATGAGGTACATATTTCTTCCTCCAACATATGATTCCTACATTGACTACTTGCTACCTGAATGATCTACCAACAAATTCCTAGACCAATGAGACATCTTTTCAAACTTTCTCACCTCTCAAGGCTTCAAGGCTTAAGGCAGTTACTACTGGCCGAGCTACCAACATTACAAGGGATATCTCGTACTTGAAGCTTCATTTTCTGCAATCCAATATTCTCTAATACATCAACACACTCCTGCAGATCAGAGTCATTCTCCAACATTACCCACTCTTCTTCATCATCCCTATACTTGAGCTGGAATGTTCCTACCAGCAATTTGAATCTCTTTCCAATTTCCTCAAACAAGTTGTGGATACCCATGGATGGCATGAACTTGAATCTAACAGTGTCATCTTTGTAGGTAGCCTTTACTGTAACAGATGGGCCATTTTGTGAGATTAACATCTTACTTCTCTTGAAACTAGGATGACTTGATGCACTTCCACTAGAAGAGTCCGTCATACCAGAAGAAGAACGATGGCTGTGTTCCATGATTCCATCATCAGCTTCTGCTTTCATCATCATTTTATCCAATTCTTCTAAACTTGAGCTTCTTGATGTAACCTGACACTCAAGGCTTGCCAAACTTAAGCCATCTTGGCCACCTTGGCAACCTGCTTCTTTTGAAATATATGAACTGTCAGATACATCTTTAGAATATGATGGCCATTTTGGTGCACCTTGCATTGTAGCATATGACAACTGCCCTCCATCTGCACAAATAAAGTTCAACTGTCTGCTACAATCATTTGAAAGCATACCAACTTCATCTGTTTCACATTTGGATCGGTGTGTGGTCCCTCTTTGGTGTCTGCCAAGGAAATAGAAATCTGGCACCATCTTACCAACAGGCTGTTCTGTCTCAATATGGTGAGCAGAAGGGGCAGTCATAAGATCTTGACCTTTTGGCTCAAAGGTTATTAATGATGGTTTTTCCGGTGAGGAGACTGCTGCAACAAGGCACCCAGTAGAAGGATCATACTTTAGAGCCCCTTCAACTCCTTGGACAGAATTTATAACATTTTGGATTTTCTGCAATGAACGATTGACCTTATTTATCTTGCGAGATGGCCATCTTGAAATTCCATGCTGTCTACATATCCTTTTCAATGTTGTCGGACAAACTGCCACAGTTATCACAACATGTTTAATGAAACGCTCTCCAAATAAAGTAAGAGCTTATAATATATAAACTATGGCCCATAGGTTAAAAGAAATTCCAATCATCAAGCACTCACATCAGACTCCATTAGGAAGGAGACCGATGCTTTTATGTTACAATTTTTAAGCTATGAAACCCCTTTTTTTTTCCAAAAAGATAAACTGCTAATTAGTTGAAACAGGTACAGGAACAATGCTCACCACCAATACTTTTTGCAGCATCCTTGAGACTCCCAGAAAAGTATCGTTGAAGAACACTAAAATTAATATTTTTCTCAGCTGTACTGCGTTTTTTCTCCATTTGTTTTATTGAGCTAGATGATAACTGGAAGATTTAGAAACATGTATTAGAACTATATTGAATAAGCGAGTTCAACACTAATAAGAACCAGCAAAAGAAGAATAAGCAAGGTTTCACGAATGTTCTTATTGAGATACCAAAAACACAAATCATATGCACCAAGATATGAAAGAAAACATCTAGTTGATATAAAACATTAGCTCAACCTGTAAAGTGAACTTTAAACTAGCTTTCTTTTATGCACATAACTTGCACATGCATTCAGAAATTAAAAATGTATGTTGTGTATCTATTACATAGTAGGATATATGCATTAGGCTAAACATATTCAATTCAAGGGAATAAGCAAAGTTTCATATGGTAAGGATTGATAATCATAAATATGGCCAATATCAAAATTAACAAAAAATAAAGATAAATTTAAAATATAAAAACTGACAAATGATAATTATTTGTGCGAAACTATTTTTTAGTCTTGGCTGATACATGGTTCTATGTTTCATCCAGCATAGAACATACTTGTTGGATCAGTGACACAGATCACAATATGTGCTTCCCAACACCGTGTATTCTTAATCTTAAAAAAAATTCACACATGTTAGTACAGTGACTTTTACCGAATCCATACCATTTCGAGTGGAGACCAAAATGGATCCGATACCCAAACTGTAAAACCATGGACCCACATATTATATTGTTTACACTTTATATGAAAGAATGTTATGATCTAAAATGCAGGAACTGAAAGTTTGTATAAAAGGCAATAATGGATAATAGAGAATAAATCATGAAGAAAAGTATATAACTAGATAATATAAAAGCTTGTTGTCATTGTATATAATTGTATCTTATCAACATCTTGTATAAGATTTTATTTTGAAGATAAAAAGGAAAAAAAGTCAGAACAAAGACTCTAGACATCCACACCTACTACCAGCCTACACCTCACCCGTCTTACTTATACTATGTCTGCTAGTGGGCCCTTGCTGTTCCTGTGTTCTATACAATTATAGAGTGATGCAGGAAAGGCATATGTTGTAATAGTTTTTACAAAACGGAGTCATCAAAACTTTACATGCCAAATCTGTTAGATGCCAAATCATATATCTGTAGGCCTTCACATGTTTAAGACCTTCTATATACTCCATAATTTAAGCAGGCTTCATTTGCACTTATTAGTGCTAGAAGTTCAATTTAGTCCTTTGGCAAGGGGACCCTTGCAAAAAATCCTCAGTTAACTTCTTGGCAATTAGTCAAGATGACATGTTTCGATTTTGGAAAGCATGATACAAAAAGAAGGTCAAAGTTAAGACTAGGACCTGCTCAAGATGAGCATCTCCATTTTGTTCATTGGATCCAATCTCCTGAGTTCCAAGATGCATCTCAGTAGCCGTTTCATTGTCGTAATCTGATAGTTGAGAGCACGTCATTGAAAAATTAGTCGACAAGGCACCTACATCTGCTCCTTTATGATTACCTATTCTGGTGATCTCTGCCCCAGCTGCTGCAGCATCTGAGACAGTTCTCAAGCTCCTACAAATTCTCTGCATGGTATTTGAGAGGCTATTTAATAATAGCTGTTGTTCTATGTTGCCTCCACAGTTGACTGGTAGAAAGAATTCTAGTATGTAATCATCATTTCCAGTGTATGTGCTCCTCAACCTGATTGCAACTGCAGCACGAAGGTCGAACTTACGAGCATGGTGTGCAAGTGGATATTCACGTATATCATATACTTTTACATCAGGGGAGAAGAATGGATGATTGGATTGAAGTGCCTTTCCAGCAATGCCTTGTCCCTTCTCAAGGCGATGTTCAGCGCATGCATGAAGAAAATCTTGCATCTGCATATCATTAACATAGCAAGCTGATTCTTGAATGCGAAGGGCAAGCCTTCTTGAAGTTGGCTTCATCCCCCCAATGTTATCATTGCTCAAGTCATTTACACCTCCATCATCATACCAAACAGGTACCCATGTAAGTGCCAGAGGTAACATGTGTGCATGACAAACAGTTCTCAAAACATCAAGTATCTCCGAAAATGCAGAAATCTGACTCTTCGTGAGGTTCTGCAAAAGAAATTGAGAATTTTTTTTCTCAAAAATCATTTAGAGGTTTCATTCCATCTTTAAATAAGGATGGTCACATCTCAGTATTCAACCTACCTGATGATGAACCTGCACTTTTGTGGTCTTCAAGTTTACAGCCTGCAAAAGCAACAAAGAAGGAACCTGCACATATAAGAAGCTCGGAAAGTAGCTGCTAAAATTGTTCATAACACCAACAAAATAATGTTCTTCCACAGGAATTGTGACAGCCAACAGATACACGATACACAGACCAGATAACAAATAACAGATAACAAGAATTTTGAAAGTCTGCTTTCAAACTAGGAGCCATACAAGTGATCCTTACATTTTAACTGTGACAAATGAGGAACCAAGTGACAAATGCAAACAGAGGCTGCAGTAAAATATGTAAAATATCATTCTCATGATTTAACGATTACATATTGGCAATATCAATCTATTCAATCAAGACTGAAAAATAGGCCATATAATGGTACTGAATGTCACAGCAACACTGACCTGCAAAGCATTGCAAACAGTTTCCATCTCTGCGTCGAAGTTGGGTCTCTCCCTTGTTGTAACAAGCTCAAGCACAGCAAGACAAGAACCTTCATAAGGATCAAAAACAGGCACCGCAAGAGATCCACGGACTTCATGACTGATTGCATAGTCCACTCTCAAATACTCGAACTTTCTGTAATAGATAACATTCGAGGTCCACTCTGGCATTCCGGAGATATATACACGCCCGGGGAGCCCAGTAAACAAACCAGGTGCTTCCTTAGCAGAAAAGGTAAACTGCCTTGAAACTTCACGGTACCCAGCAAGAATTTCGTCAAGGAGAAATGGCTGTTCAGAGGTACTTAAAATATACTGGTCACCCTGTTTAATGGGCCTCCAAACCTGGGCAAGTATTCCACTACATGACGATTCCTTTAGCAAGGACAGTGCCTTAAGCATTCTTTCTGGAAGAGACACCCCTTCAAAAGGTCTAGGAATAGTCAAGATCGCATCATCAGACAGGCCATCAAAGGCGGAATAACTAGCACTCCTACTAGTAATATTAGTTCTGGAGGAAGTCGACGGAAGCCCCATTTGTGAACCAGCTCTTTGCAAAGCCGTCTTTTCGATGCAGTTATAATAATTACCAGTTGAGACCCTATTATCTCCAGGAACGGAATCCGTACCTTCTGCTGAAACACTCAGTGGTGCCAATGAAGATGAAAAACCAGGTATTTGATAAGCAGCTATAAAGCTTAAATTAGAAATCTGGTCTACCATCGTAGGACTGCAGGATTCAGCAAAACCATCAAAATTCATGAGCTCCGCCAGGGAAAATGGATCGTCTTGACTCGGACTCCCGCTCGCCCCATAATTCGTGGGCGTGAAATCATCCATGTGAGCTTGCTCGGAGATCCAAACCGAACCAATTTCCTTTCAGATCCTGCACAAAAGTCAACTCCTAAGCATCCTTTTTAAACAAAGACGCAAACTTTCCCCTTCGAGGAAACTCGGTTCTTCCATTAACGAGCTTAATCAAGTAAAAATCAGTTCGTTGGAAACAAAAGAAGGGGGAAAAAAGGGAAAACCAATAGCTTTAACAATGAGAGAACATTCCCCACCCAGAAAAGGCAAATCCGAGGTGCTGTAATGCTGCATCCACAGCTCTCTCGGCGCGAACGATCGAAACTCCATCGGGACCCCTCAGTTCAGGTCTCCGAACCATTTTTTTCCAGCTAAAAAACGACTTTTTTTAGCTAAAACGATCTATACCCCCTCAAATCGCCGAAAAATCGATTTACGGGCCGCCTCAGCTAATCCATCTCTACAGCTTGAAGGGGGGAAATAAGCAATATGATCCCTCTTTGTCAAATCAACAAAAGAGAAGGGGCGGTAGAAGGGAACTGCCCCCTCACGTCGAAACCCTAGCTCACAGAGGAAGAAGATTCCCCCAAGATATCGCCTCAGTTGGCCGCAAGGTTTCTCCTTTACAGGAAATCCTTAACTTTCGGCTCCGAGGATTTATTTCATTCCCTTTAGAGTGGGCAGAGAAGGTGACGACGCAGTGGAAACGATCGAGGAAAACTTTGTTCGTTTTCATAACGCAAAGGCGGCCGAGAAATTGCGGCGCCTGTTTCATGATTACCACCCAAACAACCTCATAATTACCATCCTGCCATGTCAAATTAATCATCTCATAATTACTTTATCCTATGAATACGTATCACTCCAAATTAATTTTTTTAAGACGAATTGTCAAAAAAAAATATTCTCTCTTTTTTTTTCCAGTTTATATTTTTTACTAACTAATTTACATTCATCAAATAGATCATAAAAAAATACTTAATAATTAATCAAAAAAAATAAATTTTCAAAATAGTGTTTTATTTCTTTAAAAATATATTTTATTTATCATAATCCCTAAAATATCTTCTGACAGACTTTAATTATCAATTATATATTTTTTGAATAATCTTGTCCTACTTTTGATATCTCTATCAAAATACTAAATCAATCTATTCAAAAATATTATAATTGAGATAACTAATTTAAAACTCAATAAAAACAATCCATCTTATCTAAAAAAATAAGGTTATAAATAAATATCTTTATTAATCTAAGAATAAGAATATAATTAAATAGTGAGATTTTCATATTAGTTATAATATATTTTTTATATCCTTATATGATTTTTAAGATACTATAATATGATTTTTAGCCTTGTAAATATAAGTTCAAGTACTAGAAAGCTTCTATGCATTAACATCTATTTATTTATTAAAGGAAATAAGATAACTAATACTAATGATATATATATATATATAAGAAGATTTTATTAAAAGTTTATAAGAAAAAAAATAAAATAAAATATATTATTTTTAATATACATATCTCAATAGCTAGGACATATTATTATACAATGATACTAGAAGATGAATTGACATTAATATTCATTAGCTTGAATGATTTCTTGGTGGTGACTAATCTATTTTCTGTAATAGTATCACCTCTAAATTTCAATTCTATATCAATGGAATTCATAACATATAAATTTCTCTTCAAAATGTGAGGTAAAAAAAAAAAGAATAGAAAAGTGAGGTAGAGAAGAAGAGGCAAAATAATAATAATAATAATAATAATAATAATAATAATAATAATAATAACAAGTTATTTTCTATTATGCATATTAAAGAATTAATCAACATGAATTACAATAACATTTATATATAATCTATGATTCATATTGTATGTGATTAATCAAGATATAATTAACTTTTGACTTTTAAAAATAATGATTATTAGTAGTCTCCTCTTTCCCATCTAAGCATTTTTTAATCATTAGATTCAGAGTCAAAACCATTATTATAATTTGCAAGTCTGTCACAAAAAAAAAAGGATATTGCTTGTGATGTCAAGAACCAAATGCACTGTGGATTGAGAGTATTTGTGGAGAAGATCAAATTTAAAGCATGGAGAACTATTTTCCTTTGTTTTTGTCTGGTTAGAGACTTGTTCAACTGTGTTCAGCAAAGACAGATCATCAAACTTTTTCTATAAACATGCAGAGACACAAAAAAATAAATCTTTTCCATTACCTTAAGAAATGGAAGCATTATGATTGAATGTGATTTCTGGAAGGTGGGTGCATGTTGAAGGGATCACATGAGGGGTCATGTGGACCAAAGACTTTGTTGGGTTGTTGACTGTGAGCATTGTCATGTAAAGATTTAATTTTGCCAATTTTCTGTGTGTTTTTTTCAACTGTAGATGTAGAAACCTGATTAGTTTTATTTTAAAAATAAATAAAAAAATAAAATTAATTTATAAGAGTTTGATAAATATAATATTATTAATTTTAAATTAAGTATTTTGACTAATGATTTAGGTCAAACGAAGTTAACCTATTAAACTCGGATCGTAAAATTTAGTATCAAAGTTAATTTAAAATTTGATCAAAAATTTAAATTAAAAAAAATTATATGTAGATGGAGTCAGAGGACTCGCAACGATATAAAGCCATCGTCTCATATGTATATAATATAATATCTTTAAATAATATAAAAATTATAATATAAACCTTTAAATAAAAAATATAATATCTCGATTAATCTTAAGTTAGTAAAAAATTAAGATTAATTTATAAAAAAATAAATAATATTTTGATTAATATTTTGGATAAAAAGATTGATTGGCTAATTAACCTCTTAAAATCATTGTTGGTTATTTGTGGTGGAGTCCAAAATCTAAAAACAGTAGCCAAATAGCTAAAAAAAAAAAGGTAAATATTGCATGAAGTGATGACATCAAAAAGTGGGATTAGCAAAAGGTGATATAAGCACGTCAAACAAACAGTAGCCAAATAGCTCAAAAACAAAAAAAAGGTCAATATTGCCGGAAGTGATGACTTCAAAAAGTGGGATTAGCATTAGGTGATATAAGTACATCAAACAAAGACCAGCCAAATAGCTCAAAAAAAAAAAGGAAAGGTCAAAATTGCCGGAAATTATGACATCAAAAAGTGGGATTGTGCTGCCAAAACGAATGGGGAGTCTCTTTCTTTAGATTACATTTGGAATGTGAAAATTGATTATTAAGACTAATAGGAGGATTAAGACTACCATTTCATATCACATTTATAACAAAAATAAAGAACCTTCATGCAAGAAACACATTGGTCATTTTACTAACAGTACAATTAAAAACAAGCCATCCCATCAAATCAAATCAATGGACATCATCAACTCTAAATATGAACACATCTTATATTTATCGTAAATAAAATTCGAATCATAACTCTTTTTTACCAAAATAATTAACCTTAAGATAATGATACAGAAAAATGGGTGTTAGACAACATATATGCGGTGAGTCAGTATGGCTAAGTCCACGGGCCAATGTCGGGAGCTTTCTGTAGGGCGATTCAAATGATGAGGTACTCGAGCTCTCGAGATAGAGTGCTGGTTGGCGTTGGTCGGGATCGAGACTGATTGGCGACTCCTTGGTGTCAGACGAATCGCACTTCCGTGCCGAGTCCCTTACCGTCGATGAGTGATCGCCCTCCTACAAAAATGGTCTTCGTCGGGTGGTACCCGGCCATGACCCCTCCGATGAGCAAGTTAGTAATGAGAGGGATTATTTTTTTCCTTCTTTTTTCTTGTCTTCCCCTGGTCGGAGGTCAGTCAAGGGTTTTATACTGTGGCGCGAGGGCTGATGGTGCGTCAATTTGACATCACTGTTATTGACCCTCGAGAGATGGGATGACCTTTTGATCGACCGTCGTTCCGAGACGTGTAGAGCGACGTCAAACGACATCGCCCCAAGCTCTCGAGGTGAAACATGTGACATATCTTCTTGGACGGATGACGTAAGACTCCGATTTAGCGAGCGGTGACATTAGACACGAGAAAGAATGGTATGGATGTGGAAGAGATTACACAATTAAGGTTGCTAATCACGTTTACGACTGAGCATTAAGTGGGAGATTAGTGAAAGGGCAGATGCATGGAGGTCGAGGGTAGTTTGGTCATCACGCAGAGCATCACGTCAGGCGCGGGTTCCGAAGGCGGGCGGGAGAGCAGGATGCACGGACAAGTCCCGCGCACGTGTCGGCGTGTGGTTCGAGGAGGTGTGGGCCGAGATCTACCGTCTTCAGCACTAGATTCCAAGCTCATTTCAGTGGACCGCTTCCGCCCGCCCGCAAACGCTGACACGACGTTTTCCTTAATTTTAAATATATATTTATATATTTATTTATTAATATAGAATATTTATCTCTTCACCTCCTCCATGTATTATTTATTATATATTGACAGAGGGAATGACGAGATCTGCTCCATCATGTGATGGAGAATGGGGTTGAAAGACTTTTCTGGAATCATGTTTATTTTATTTTCTTTATGAGTTGGATAAATATCCTTCATTTTTAATTATTTCCGTGTTTATCTTTGTAAAATTTTTAACTGTGATTGGATGGATGCTAATAACTATGACATGTATGAATGATTTAAATATCTGAATGCATAAATATAATATTGAAAAAATTAGTTCATTAGCTAATATAATTTAATGTATATATATATTATATGTATTGTATTGTTTGATGGATCAGATAATTAGTTCATTACCATTATCATCTAATAATGGATATAATATCTATGAATTTGAAGTGGAGAATAATTATCTAATTTTCTTATCCAAACTTATAATTTCTTTTAAATGGTACCAAATCTGCATCAACTTTGCCCATCAAATTTTACAAAGGGATGGATAGAAGTCTTGTTGCTTTCAATAAAAGGGAATTTAGTATTAAAATGAGAAAAAACAATACCATGAAATCTGATAATGACTTCTGTCATTGTCATGTAAAGTTTGGAATTCTCATTTGGACAAAACTCAACTATCATAACTGTAAGTTCTCCTCATAGATGCCTATAGATTGACCTCCCATCCTAACTCAATCTAGGCAAGTTGTGGTCCTATTTGACATACATGGATAAGGTCCTTAATTGAAATGGATACTTGAAATATATCAAAATATTACACCTAATTCCTCAATTTATTCAATCCTATATCAATAATATTGAAAAAGAATCCAATTTAACTTAAATTTTGATGCAACAGTTTCCCACCAGTCCCATCCAATCTCTCTAGTTCAGGTCATATTTTCCAAAAAATCATAAATTAGAAGCTAAAGAACTAACATAATCCTACAATCCAAGTTAAGACTTTATAATCTCTGATCACAAAGTACTTTCCTACCTAACCTTATCCTTGAGGTAGATGGAACTTGTGGGTTAGAATTAGAAGCACCAGGAAAAATCTAACCCAAGCAAAGTCATATTTGAGTTGAAGAACCCAAGCCACTGACCATCACATTTAATTTGAAGCTTGAAAATTCTAGGCTAAAATTTGTAGGTGATTCATGTGCCTCCCTTTAAGCTTTTAGGTTTTAGCATATATATATATATATATACATATATATATGTATATATACGTATATATACATATATATATGTATATATACGTATATATACATATATATATGTATATGTATGTATATATACGTATATATATGTATATGTATGTATATATATATGTATGTATGTATATGTATGTATATATATGTATATGTATGTATATATATGTATATGTATGTATATATATGTATATATATGTATATATATGTATATGTATGTATATGTATGTATATATATGTATATATATGTATATATATATGTATGTATGTATGCATGTATAATTTGAAACTTACAAATTTTAGACTTAATTAAAAAATTTAAAGTGTAATAATACACATATATATATATATATGTATATATGTATGTATTATGTAGTATACATGTATGTATGCATATATGTATGTATGTATGCATGTATAATTTGAAACTTAATTAAAAAAAATTAAAGTGTAATAAAAAATTAAAAATCTTTAAAGTGCAATACAAAGTTGTCATTGGGGAGATGCTTTACGTTTGAAAAATGATATATGTAGCAAGATTTAAATAGGTTTGTTTTTCTTTTTTCTTCATATATAGTGATGATTTAAAATTACTTTCCTCTATAACACTTTTCTAATATGATGCTTATCCAACAAGTGACCAATTTAGTGAATGTATCTTGCACTAATCACAGTAGCCATCAAAGAAATTGCATTAATCTCAGTTACATATAGGTTTGGGCAGTCTTATGAGCTTAAAGGAGGACGATCACAAAGAGGCAATACGATGGAGGAAGAGGATGAGCAATGAATGTGCTATAACTATTTCAATTTTTGGTCACTTTATGAGCATAATGGAAGATAATGTGATGTGCATGCACATAACGATTCCAAGTAGTCATATAGAAATATATAATATACACATTTGTTGTATGGATGATGTCGAGTTCATATGTGATTCGACTCTATTTTGACCTGGCTCTTCAAGTCGAGAAATCGTTGACCCGCATCGGGTCCGAGATCGATACACTAGTCTAGACAGATGGGTTCGATCTGGAGTTACTTGATTCATTCGACTCTATTTTGACCTGGCCCTTCAAGTCGAGAAATCGTTGACCCGTATCGGGTTCGAGATCGATACACTAGTCTAGACAGATGGGTTCGATCTAGAGTTACTTGATTCATTCGACTCTATTTTGATCTGGCCCTTCAAGTCGAGAAATCGTTGACCCGCTTCGGGTTCGAGATCGATTCACTAGTCCACACAGATAGGATTCGATCTAGAGTTACTTGATTCATTCGACTCTATTTTGACCTGGCCCTTCAAGTCGAGAAATCGTTGACCCGCATCGAGTCCGAGATCGATACACTAGTCTAGACAGATGGGTTCGATCTGGAGTTACTTGATTCGACCCGACCGATTGCCACCAAACGCACCCAAATTGGCCCAAATGAGTGCGTGATTTGACGAAACCAACAACGGAAGACGGTTTCTTTCTCTCGTGGAATCTGCCAAATTGCTGTTACGATTATATATTAATTTCTTTTGATCCCTTCTTCCCCTTTTCTGTCTCACACACAATTGAATAACACGCACAGGCGAAGGCGACGGCGAAGGCGAGGGGAAACCGCATCGCTCCATGGCGACGGAGCTCTCCGATCGCTTCTCGGCGCCCGCGAGCCTCCCGATCTCATCCATTTCCAGGTGCCGCTTTCACCCAATGCTTCTCTGCTCCCCATCCGTCTCTCGCTCTCCATGTTCTCTTCGTGTCGATATCCGTTTCGGTCGGTCGCGAGGTCCTTTATTTCGGGTTTCCTGTCGCTGTTAAATCTTTGCTGATTCGAATCGGTTTTCTAGGGGGTCGGTAACTGTCTGAATTCCTGTGGGGTTGGAAGCGTGGATCTTCGCTCGCTGCTCGTTTTAGTCTTCCGTTACTTGCATCGATCTTCTCTGTTCCTTGCTTGCACGGCGTTAGGTTTTTTATGGTTCGATCTGGGGCTTGGATGGGCCTATTGAATGTCGATTCTGATTAAAGGTTTAATTTTGCTTGTTTTGATGTGGGAGCGCGTTGGGTTTTGCTTATGGATTCAGGTAATGGGGAGGAGAGAAGAAGGTAAAGAGCTGATAATGTCTGTTGACGGAGAGGATACAAGATGGATGTGTGGCAGTTCTGGTGTGGTGAACCTCCACCGAGTCAGTTCTATGGTAAGAGAGATTGGAGAACCGTGCCTGTATCACTCGCCCGCCAAGGTTGGTCCCCTGGAGCTTCTTGAGACACTTACTTCTCACAAACCGTCCTGTTTCACTTGCTGTTAAACCGTGAAGATGCTTTCAGTAAGTCGTCCATGCAATGGTAAATTTATATTACTCGAGCGCCTAGATGGGGTTTAGGTGGATGCTGAGGCCATTAAGGACGGACTTTTTTATTTTAAGCTGATTTTTAGTTCTCATAAGGTAGATCAGCATGATGGTACCTTGACAATCTACCAAGTGTCAATTGTTTTCATAACAAACTATAGGTAAAGTTAGTTGTTCGACACAGTGAACAATATGTACATTGGTTGTTGTGTCCTCTTTAATATGAACATATTTTTTAAACCATGATCCTCGTTGTTATATATAAAAAATTTACAATTTTTAGTTATGTTTTTTATTCTTTCTTCCACTTCTAATTATGAAAGTATCTTATATGAAATTTTCAAATAAAATGCATGTTCTGGGATATGAATTCTATCTTATATCTTCTATGCAAAAAGTTCAATGCAGGAGGATGGTCAAATGACATTATTAATGTTAGCCAGATTTGATGCTTTGTTCAGCAGTATTCATGATCAATTTTTTGCTGAATCTTTTCTGTAGATGGCTGAGTTGATTGTTTTAAGGGTCCTTTAGACTTCCTGAATCTTTATTCTGTTGAAAAGCAAACTTCTTATGTCAGTCTGATCATACCGGCAAATGTAGTTTTCTTGTATGGTCTTTTTGCACTATGAGATTCTATGTATCTTATGCTATATGTGTTATATGCTCTGAGCTCTGAGACACCAACAATATCTTTTCACCATGGTAAATTACATCCACCACATCGCCTCATATTCTTTGATTTTTAATCTTAAATAAAATGTTGTTCTCCTCTTAGGAACCCACAAAATGAAGAAAAAATAACTTTGATTTGGCAAATTCATACATGATATCTACCAATTACATTGCAGTTGTGAGTTATAGCAGTTATCTCATTTCAGTATCCTAAAATTACATAAAAGAGCGATCCATTGCCCTAGAATTCTCCTCCCACTAACTTAAGTTCTTATAGGCACACCCCATAACTTTAACCATTGAAATGAATTTATTTTGGTTTTGTTATCTATTCTTTCTCTTAAGCTGACTCTGTAGTTTAGTTTTATGACTGTACAGTTTCAATACTCTAGGTGCTTTGTACTGTATAAATTTCTTGTCCACAATGTTAGTTCATTTATAGGTTGTGCACACCTTTTGTATATTTTTTTTCTACATTCAATCTCTTTAATTTTCTACACGGTTTTCATACCATGAAGAGCATGATCTCAGCATATTATTAGCTATAGTGTATATTATTTTGGACCAGGTTAATTTTATTACCAACGCTTTTTAAAAGTTAGCTTAGAGGAAGTTTTTCATATAAGATGGTGGAAAGATATTTTGAATATTACCAATATCTGGACAAATATGGTGGGAAAAACTGTAACGAGTGATGATTGAAGAGCTTTTTATTTACAAATATTTCACTTTGTAATTTGACACAAGGCTCCTAGAGAGCAACAAGCTGCGAAAGAGAACCAAGCTGTCTTCACACGGTGGTTGACAATATCTGCACTGTCTTGCAGCTGCTGATGAATAGCACAGCATTTCAGATAACTTACTAATTGATCGATAAACTCTTGAAGACCTTAATACCAAAGCAACTATTCGTTTTGTTATCCTGTGATAAACTGGTGGCTCGTTCCTTGTTGGTTACCCCATTTTTCATCCATGGTGCAGGATTCGTTTCAGAATAGTTAAAGTTAAGCCTTTTGTTGTCTCAAATGATTTTGATATTGGACCTTATATTTTGACATGATTGTCACTTTGCACTTTGAAGTGAGACATTTATGTTGGCACATTCAGTATCCATTTACGCTGGAAGATGAAAATTTATGTTAGTGTTTATGATATGGTTTTTTTGATCAGCATTGACTTGAGCTTGACAAGGTATTAAAAATCATGTGGCAGATCTGTACCATCCATTATTTTGAAATTAATTTAATTTATGTTTTTGAGTTTTGAGTCTTGACAGCGACAAACTATCTCTTCAGTCGAACTCCTCTCTCTCTCTCTCTCTGTCTCTCCCTCCCTCCCGATTCCACCCCTCTGTCTCTCCTCCTCTATTCCCTCTGCCTCCTGCTGCCCATTGCCTCATTGTCTCCGAGACTTCTTTTCTTCCTCTAACTCCTCCTCCGCTTCCATCCTTCTCGGTGCCAACCGGTTTGCTGACGTACAGCGTGTTAATTTGCTGATACATACCAGACCCATACCAGGCCAGTTTGGGTTTGCTATCGAGATTTAAAACCATGAGCTGGACCATCCTTGGTAAGAACCTGGTACTTGGTTTTCACAAGCTCATCCATTTCTTGCTAGGATCTTAACTTAAGAGTAACTTTTCTCTTACCCTAGGTTCTTGCTGGTGCAATATTTGACTTGTTCAATGTGAAGACTTCTAGTTGCTGTTGTTGTATTATATTATCTGTTATATTACTTTATAAACCTAGCAACTTTTTTCGTACTTCATTTTTGCAGCTCATAGTCATTAAATAATTTATATTTCTTATGATTATGTAGATTTCTAGTTATCCTATCTTGTGCTATGATATACTTGGAAGGTCATGTTTAATGAATAATGTACTTATGATTCATCGAATGCAGTCACATGTATCTGCTTATAATTCATTAAATACAGTTGTATGTGTGTTACTAATGCAGTCTTGCATACAGTTTTTTTTTAATTTCTTATCTAGTTTTCTATGATTTAGCGAAACAAGATGCTCAAACCAGAAAAGTGGCAAACAAATTTTGACACTGATGGGAAGGTTGTAGGCTTTCAAAAAGCACTTAAATTGATTGTCTTAGGGGTAAGTTCTGGGGCACTTCTCATGCTCTTTCCAAGCTTTTATGTTATTCAATTTGTGCTAATCTTCAGTGTTCTGTAATTCTTCCATATCTTGTAACTGTCGGCTCCAGATTCTTCACATTTGTTGGTATCATGGTTACAGCTCCTATCTACATTAAAGGGCTTATAATATGCAATCTCTTAGAATATGATGTATACTTCTAAATTTAAGAGCTCTTATCTTTGTTAAAGAGTGGACATGATACTTCTTTATAATTGTTTGTTCACTCACCTATGTACATTTCATGTCTATTGCTGATAAATCATAGTGATCTATCCCTTGAATTTCTACTGTTCTGTGCCTTTATTTATTTCTTATAATTTACCTTCCTTTTGTAAAAACAGGGTGTCGATCCATCAATAAGGGCAGAAGTCTGGGAATTTCTCCTTGGTTGTTATGCTTTGAGCAGTACTGCTGAATATCGGAGGCAATTAAGGATGGCCCGAAGGTATCATTTTTATCATTTTTATAGACATTTGCTGATAACTACATGTTGAAACTTAACCTTGATATTCCAGTCAGACGCATAATTGGTCTTCCTTTTTCTATACGGGTAGGGATTTCTGCTATAATCTTGTGGTGGCTATGATTCCCATCTGTATTAATTACTAGTAGTGCTTGTTTGTTTTTTATTACTGCTGTTGGAAGTTGTTTTATGGTTTATCTGTCTTTAGCCTTTTTTTGGTTCCACTTTCTGAGTAGATATCAACTTTACTTTTTAATCATTAAGCTTTAAGTTGGATGACAAAATATCTGTAGCATTTTCATTGAATTAATTTTGGTGTATTTCTTATTATTGTAGAATGCTTTATTTAGTCAACTAGCATCCCCAGCTTCTCCTAGGGTGGGAATCATGCATGGTGGTGTTTTACATGTAATGCAGGGAACGTTATGCGGATCTAATCAAGCAATGCCAAATGATGCACTCAAGCATTGGTACGGGTAACCTAGCTTACATTGTTGGGTCCAAAGTTATGGATGTAAGGACTTTATCCAAGGACAATCGTGATGGGAAATCAGTGACTACAAGTGGGTATGCTTCTAATGATACTACCATCAAGCTGGACTCATTCAATGATATGGATAATGACTATATGGACACACTGTATTCATACCGAAAGAAAAGCTCTGGTAATTCAATTGAGCTAGTCAGTACCAGAATGAGCACAGACAGTGCTGCTTGTAATTATTGCTCAAGGAAATCTGAGAGTGAAATCAATGAACCTCAGTATGACAGCGAGAGTTTTTATGATTTTCCTCCTCTTCCTGTAACTAATTTATTCGAGAAAGATGGTGGTGATGAGAGTGAAAGTAAGAAGCATAAGAAGCATGGTGATAAAACTTTTGTTTTTGAAGGTACAACAAGATTGGGGGATCAACACATGTATAGCTTCCAAATCAACAACAACGAGGATCTGATTATGGAATCAGATTTTCCATCTGCAAGCAACAATGAGAGTAACCGCTTTAATTCAGATGGTCAGAAGTGTGTTGAAGGGACAGACGAAATGGTGTTTGAAGAGGATGTTGTCAATGGGTTGAGGATATTGGATGTTCCACAGGCAGGTGCAATGGGTGAGACACCAACAAATGCACTGGTCACCAATGAAGATAGAGTTTCTGAGTGGCTATGGACACTTCATCGAATTGGTAACTAGCATTCCTGTCAATGAAATTGAAGGAAATTCTTTCATTATTATCTTGTCCAACATGATTTTCTCTCAGCTGATAATCATTGGTTTTGTAGTTGTTGATGTTGTGAGGACAGATAGTCATCTTGAATTTTATGGAGACTCAAAAAATATGGCCAGAATGTCAGATATTTTGGCTGTCTATGCATGGGTTGATCCAGCCACTGGATACTGTCAAGGTTGTACCTAGATCATTGCCTCTTTATTTTCTTGTTTGGCACCTGTACTCGAATTTGGTGCAAATTTGACTGTTTAAACTTGTTATACATCCTAACCATTAAATGATTCTTGTTTGATTGATATTAGGAATGAGTGATTTGCTTTCGCCCTTTGTCGTACTTTATGAGGATAATGCAGATGCCTTTTGGTGCTTTGAGATGCTTCTCCGAAGAATGGTAATCGCATATTTGTCTGATCCACCATATCTTAATTTATGACTTTGCGATCTTTTGGGAGTAATATCTATTACATGTTCTTTCAGCGTGAAAATTTTCAGATGGAAGGGCCGACTGGAGTCATGAAGCAATTGCAAACATTATGGAAGATATTGGAACTAATAGATGGTGAAATGTTTGGGCATCTTACAGCCATAGGTGCAGAAAGTCTTCATTTTGCCTTCCGAATGTTGCTGGTTCTTTTTCGCCGGGAACTATCTTTTGATGAGGCCCTTCGTATGTGGGAGGTTTGTACCTTGAAGATATTAATTCCAGAAAGTTGACTAATTCTATATGTTGATTTGGTTTTCTTGGATATTGTAATTTAATATATATTCATCCATAGATAGTGGTACTAGAATTTTACCTATTACTTTTGATCTGGCAATAATACTTCGGAGGTAGTAAAGAATACGATAATAGTTTATGAATTCATTCATGGTATGGTAGTATTACAATCACAACGACAACAATAACAAGAAACAGTAATGCCCGAACCATTTGGGGTTGACTTTCTGTCTTTGAGCATATGATACTGTAGAATGCAAATGAAAATATCACATTTAATCTTTTTAAAGAGACTTTTAAAACATAATCAAGGTGTGGACATGATTGAATATGCTTTCTGCTTATTAGAGTTTTAGGCTTGACACCAAGATTGAAAATTTTCATACATGTATGGCTGGATTTTGCTCCTTTGTAGGAGCTTTTTCTTTTGGAGATGCTTGATTTAGTTTTTGTCTGAGAGGCCTTCAATTATTTTGTTGGATCTGCTTGATTCACTATTGATAAGCATTTAACTCAACGTACTTTACATACCTCATCATTTCCTAGTTTTTGAAGTTTTCTATTTGAAGGGACTTGTCTTCGAGTTGGATTTAAATAATGAAAAACAAATAGGTTAACATGTTAGATAAAATTAAATTAAATTAGGTAAACACAGAGCCCTCAGAACTCTCTTTTAAAAGATGACATGATCTTAGTGATTCAAACATTAAGAACCACCACATAAAATATGAACAAAAGTGCTGGTTCTGCACAGTTCATGCCAGTCAACAGGTATGGTGCTCACATAGCATCAGTACATTATTATGTATCATGCCAAGTGTGTGTAACTGCTACTTTGGCTTGTCACTAAGCCACGTGACCGACAAAAACCCTTTGTTGATTTGCACTGCAGTGAGTACATATCATACAAAGATTTTATTGGCATACTTGTGCATGAAATTCAAAACCTTGATAAAAGCATGCACAAGAACTATTTCAGAGTTAACTACATGGATAATTTCCTTGAATTTATCTTTAAGATTGAATGTCTGGAGATAATCTAAAAGCTATAAAATCATGTTTACTACTCTTGATCAAGTTGTATGTGATTTTTCAGTGCCTCTCATAAAAAGGTCCGACATGAGCGACTCATTTTGTTTTCAAGGATCTCTTAAGGTCTTCTCTTAAGGTCTTCCACGGTTGTATGCCTGAATCAACTTTAATAGTTTCTGCACATATTATCCATAATTCCATCTCCAGCATATTATGAGTAGAATAATTTCCTATTCTCTCTGAGATACTAGTTTTATTAACTTCAAGATATATCGTTTCCTAACTACCCAAAATCTTGGAGTAAAGTGTGTTGGTTCACTCTGGTACAGTCCTTTCAGTTGTTTCAATGGTTGCAAAAATTGTTATAAGAATATCATCACTTCAACCGTTCCTCTCTTATTCTAAATCCCAAGAAATTTATACCATGCATGTCAGTTCTACCCAGAATGAGAAATCAGAACCTTTATAGAAAATTAAACCTATGACAAATATTAATTGAAATTTTGGGAATGGAGGAGTATCAACTAAAAGAACACTATTATTGAGATTTTCCCAATTGAAGTTTAGTTAATTCATTTTAAACCTAGATTAAATCTAGATACTTTTCAACGGAAACATATAAATGAGTTCTTGATTACATTAAGGAGCTGTAGTTTGAGATTTATTATATGGAAAATAGTATCAACATGACTACTGGTAACTGTGTTAAACTGAACCAAATTATGGCAGAATGGTCCAACCACTCAATCTGTTGTTTAGAGCAGTATCTGACAATGGCTTTTGATCTTTTTCCAGATTCATGCGATCTTGAATCTTGTAACTTTGGTCTTTAGATGGTAAGGGTAAACCCCATTTCTTAGGAGTCTGAGAGTTATATAGGCATGCTACTGTTAGCTGTAACTACTGAGGTCTCACATGCATATACTCGGAGATCTGTTTACTTGATGTCCTTATTATAAATGATATTAGGTGTTAATCATCCATCGAGTTCTGCAGGGAAAAAAATAATTTTGAAGGTGTTGTGGTTTGCTTTAGGAGCCAGTCGTGACCAACCAGGAATTCAGTATATCATCAATTTGAATGCAATAGACGACTGGTCTTAAAGAAAAGCTCTTTAATATAAACTAATGTTATTGCTGCTGTGACTATGAAACCCAATGAGTAGAGAACGTCAAGGTCATGGTCCTTTGCAATTTAAAGGTATTAAGCTTAAATGAGCCCATGAATAATATTTCCTTACAGATTCGTGATCAAGTTTATTTTTCAGGGTTGCTCTTTGGGCATGAATTGCTAATTTGGAATGCCTTTAATATTTTATATATGGCATTTTAACGCTTTATCTGTTCTACACTTTAATTATTGATTCCCCCCCAGATGATGTGGGCTGCTGATTTTGATGAAGATCTATCTCAGCAATTAAACTCAAATTGCCTCAAACCATTATCCTTGCAACTTAGAAAAAGTTCAAGTGGAGAAATAAGATTGGATCAGACAGAAAGCAGCAAAAGAAAACTTAAAAAGACAAGATTACATTGCAGAAATGGTGATTTTTTTGCACAATATAGCAATGGGGCTAGATCCATTTCAATCCGTCCATTTTGTGGTCTGTCAACCGCTAATTGCTGGGCAGAGAATGATCAGCTGCAGGCTTGCAGTATGTCTGTATCAACAAGGAACAGTGATGATGAATTGCCTGTCTTCTGTGTAGCAGCTATTCTTATCATCAACCGCCAAAAGATTATGAGAGAAACTCACTCGATCGATGATGTGATTAAGGTAGATTTTCATTTTATTTCTCTATTTTTAATATAAGCGGGCCTTATTTCATTCTCTTTCATAAGTCATAACTTCCCTATGAAGAAAACTTTCGTATGGGATTATTTGTTTAATCTCTATTTTGTTATCTAATCATAATATTTTCTTGTTTTTTTGACCCTGATGAATTGATTCAGGATCTGACAAAGTTTCACTTTGAACTAGGTGAATTCTTAATTAAAAAGTTTGTCCTTCTTTTAGGACATTTTTATTGTATTTCCTTCTGAGGTTATTTCAAGTTTATAAATTTCTTTCATTTTCAGTATTGTACACCTTTAATTGTGCTATGCAGCTCAACTATATTTTAATTTACTATATTTGATGTTAAGCTGATGTGTGTTCTTGAAATCTGAGAGCCTTGAATATCTGTTTTTCTTACAAATGCTATATAATGCTATATTCTAATATTCATTTTTTTTTTTCTATTACAGATGTTTAATGACAACATGTTGAAAATCAATGTAAAAAGATGCATACGCATGGCCATCAAACTAAGGAAGAAGTATTTTTACAAGGTGAAGGATTTAGCTTATTGATTATAGAAATTGTTTCCACTCTTTCATCATTGCACTGCTAACTTGTTTTTGCATTTGCTTCATTTGATCCTCGGAGTATTTGATATCTTTAGTAATGAGAACTTTTGAAATTTTATTTTTTAACATCATATAAGGGTATAATGTTCTTGTGTTGGATACAGTTGATAAAGCAAACAAGCTTGGGATGTTCAGAGCAATGAGTAGGAAAACATTTCTGGTGCTGTTTATACACCTTGGAAAGGTTGCCCAAGTAGCTGCTGAGGATTTTTTTGGTTTCAATGTGACATTTCGTAGCTCCCAGTGTGGAACCTGTGTTGGAGCCATCGCCCAACATTTCATGAAATCGAGTTTTAATGAGTTTGATGCGGCATGCCCTCAAGGTAAGTTATGTACATCTTTGGAGTTCAATTATCATTTTCACTTTCATTAACTTCGTTCTAAGCAGGCTTGCATTCTCTGGGTTATTCACTCACAAACATGTACAATTTCCAGCAAATCTGTACAGATTCTTCTGATTTGACCAAATACTTGAAAGCTTTAAAAGTGGAAGCAGCGATCCTTTTAGCTAGAAGTGGAGCCTGAAAGCATCACGTGTTTGCTGCTGTATTGATGATATACCACCGGATTACTGATGAGCAGCAGATAGCAATCACCTTTTCTTTTTCCCCTTATTTATCTGTCACTACCTCAGTGCCAAGCGGAAGAAGAACAAATTTTTACTTGCTACAATGATCTCGTTAAAGAAATTTAACCTTTTTACGGATCAGTTGAGTTTCTCTGCCCTGTTAATCAAGCTTTTCATGCAATTGCCAGTGGCTAAATTCAGAACATCTTTTTAGGACCCACCCATATATATATATATATATATATATATATATATATATATATATATATATTTATTTATTTATTTATTTATATACATACATATACATATACATATATATATACATATACATATTAAGACAGGACATGGAAGTTTAGTTGCCCTTGATGTGTTTCCTCCCCCCCCCCCCCCCCCCCTTTTAACAGAGGGTAGACGTTTAAAAAGAGATTTGATTTCAGGATGATGATCTAATAAAGTCTTTACCAGTTAAGTTGCCTTTACTATTGAAGAACTCATATTTATTTATTTTTATCAGATTCATTAGATTTGCACACGTTTTACACGCCATTAAGTGCACATGATAGTTTATAAGATGACAATAGGCAAACAGGAAAACTTAATGACGCTTTCGTGTTATCCCTCTCTGAACGCTACTCCGTCGTCCACCTAGCGATTGAACGTAGCACTGGGGCACCACCACACCTACCTACGGGTCCCAAACTTCTCCAATAACAATGCAGGTCGACGTGTGGGTACGGTTGAGGCAAGTCAACGAAGTTTCTCATAAAGACATGACGCTCATCCGGGGCGTCGAAAAGAAACTTGCACTTACTTAGACGCACCGCTCGATCTACCTTTCATGTGATTGGCGAAAGATGGGACCTACGGGTTGGTGATACGGATAAACTGCAACGGTAACATCCGGGAGCAGAAGCAAAAGTGTGCAGAAAGAAAGAAATCTCATGCAGAGGACTACTGCTTACCTTCATCAGCATTGACGGCCACCAAAGATTATAAGCTACGGACAGAAGAGTCTAAATCTAACCTTAAAATGCCTCTTCGTCTCCACTTAAGACTTGCCCAACGAGAGCGAACCTAAGAGCCGGAGGTCCCTCCAAAGACCGATTTTTATCTGTCCTCCTCCTCCTCCTTTGTCTCTCCCCTCCCAAATTGTTTCCACTCTTTTCTCGATCCTTCTTCCTTGGCCTCGTCGGAATTCGAGGTACAGCTCGTAGCCTCCTCCTCCCTTTGCAAGGCGGTAAGAATGTCCGAATTGGTCGGAGCGACCGGTGGTTTCTGAGAATTGGGGGTTGTGAGGTCTTCCTGTTGATGGGAGCCAGCGCCAACCCGTCGGGGAACACGGATGGGGCCAACGGCGGCCCGTTACGCGCAGGCGGCGGTGATGCGGGTGGAGGTGGCTCTTCGGTTCCTGGGAACCCTAGCAATGGCACCACGCCTGGGCCGGCGCAGGCGCTGAAGCATAACCCCGGGCTGTCAATTGAGTGGTCCGCGGAGGAGCAGACCATCTTGGAAGAAGGGCTTAGCAAGTTAGTACCTTGAGCTTTCCTCCCTTATGCTGTGGTAGAACTTTAATTTCTTTTGGTACCAAGGATAATTTGGCTCTTGAATGCTAAGATTTGGCTCTTTGGAACTTCGCGGGAAAATTTGTTATTTTGGTCAAATTATCTGGTCTATTAAATGCACAAATGACTTGTTGAGTTTGTTTGAATGGGAGATTCCTGTAATATCTATGCTTTGGGAAGTATGATGAGATATTAATGCTTTACAGATATTTTAATTTTTTAGTATCTTTTTCCTCTTTTAGATCAAAGTCCATAAAATGTTATATTTATTGACTCATGTACTCATCAGTGCTTGAATCAAGTTATGGATTTGTGTCATCTTATTTCGTGAAAGATGGGGGAAAAAGTTGTTTTATGGGTAGCAACGAGTACGAACACGCCAATTCACTCAACATCTCTATCCACCCAAAGACTAGTAGAGTGTAACAAGACCTGCATTTTCTGGAACAGGTTTTCCTTTTCTTTTCCCCTTTGGGTAGTATCTGATTTGGTAAGGTGTGAACTTCTTATGAATAGAGTTCTAATGAGGCATGCCAACATGTATGACTTGGGGAATTAGTGTGATGCTGAAGAGGAAGCAACCATGTCAATGACACAGCATGTGCTTTGTCTGAGGTACCAAAGTAAGGACTATAAGGTGTCTTAGTCGTTCTAATGAAAAGGATAAGAAATCTACTGTATGGGCAAAATATTGAGTGATACACCTAGTAAAACTAGGTGTTGATATTTAATGAACTGATTTGTCGTAAGTGCCTATGGTCACAATAATTTCTAGAGATAATCTAGCTATAAGGATATATGTAGTATGAACCATATATAGGATGAGAAGAAGGTTCTAATTTTTCTTATAATTCAGTAAGTAAGAAAATGCAGGATTCTTTCACTCATGCAAAGTCGTATCAAGATCATATTTAATTTTCTTGCATCTTCCTTTTTACTGCTTCATATTTAATTTTCTTGGTACAGGGTTGGTACCACCCAGTACAGGGTGGTACAGGACCATTGCTGAATATTTTTTTTTGTTTTTTCAGCTTTTTTTTATTTTTTTGAAACTCTGCATACCAGCACTTTATGTGCTATTATTATCCCTGACCAGTATAATACCGGTACACAAAATTATGAACCTTGTTAAGAATTACAGAAAATTTAACTATATTTATGCTGTACATGGCAACTATTCCTAGTCCAAGTTCAAGTCTTGTGCTTACATAATAGGCCAAATCTGACCTACCTTTCATCATATGTTGCAAATTCTGAACTTACTAAAAAGTATTTTCCGGTTCAAAACAATTTTTCTTAAAAGTTCTATGTCATAAAAAAAATGACAAAGGCAATGGTGTCGAAAGCAATTAGCAAAGCTAAGTTGGTTAATTGCATTATGGTGACAGTAAAAGAAGCTACCTGATTGTGTTGTTGCAACTGGTGTAAGATACATCTTCGAACTTGGTTCTTTCTAATGTATGTATTAATTTTCAGCCAGACTTTCTTTTTCTTTTCTATTTGAACTTAGGTTTGATAATTACATGGAATTGCAGATATGCATCTGAATCAATTATAGTGCGTTATGCAAAAGTTGCCATGGAACTAAGGGACAAGACAGTTCGTGATGTGGCCTTGCGGTGCAGATGGCTGTCTGTAAGTTTGACAACCTGTTACTTGTTAGTATGCCTCTTTATTTTACCAACTGTATAGGCCTTTGGATTTTCTTGCAACAGTAAACATGCCCTGCTAATGTTAATATTTTGTTTTAGGAATTTTCTACTGTTTATGCATGAAGTAATTTGCTAAAACTCAACCTTCCCCATCCTTTCCATTCTTATATGTGGTGATTCAACAAGAGAGCCATGTGGATCATGGTTTTGGCATGGAAAGGACTATTCTAGTCTGTTATGGCAAATTTATATTGCAGGAACAACTAGGTAGTGATTTTAGTTTGTTTAAACAACTGATAGCTTAAAATCTATGGTTATCTTCTGTTACAACAGGGTTCACTTCTCCATTCATTGCTCGATGGTGCTATTAATGAAGAAGGACAAGAAAAATAGTTTAAACAAGATATTTATGTAATTTTCTTGCAAAAATTTTGGTGCCTCTTGCAGCTTGTGACTATTGGTGACATACCAGATAATTGCCATGTGTGTTTGTGCAGAACATATTTATGTGATGCGCCTGTCCTTCCACTTTCACACTATGTGCATAGTGAAAGGTAGGGTATCCAAGTCCATGGTAGGAGTTGTTTAGCATTCCCATTAACAACTTGTAAGCTATCATTTGACAACTTGTGAAAACAAAAAAACTACCCATTCTGCGGCAAAATCCTTCTAACATTGAACTGTATATTGTTGAAATTGACGTCTTAATGTCATAATTTTTTAATTACAGCAGTACTATTAAGTTCATTAGGACCCAGAACTAATTAATTTTTTAAAATAAATACCATCCAAACCAAGGATTTCAGCTTTATTGGTACATACTTTGTTTTTGCAGAACTATCAGCATACATTTGGGACAACAAAGAGCCCCATGCTGGTGTTATACTAGCAGTATACATCTAACATGAATCAAGCAGAGCAGCTTGTTCAGTCCTTGATCTGAATGTTTTGTTTCCTTGATGATAATGAGAATAAAAGATCTAATTAACATTGACAAAACAGTTTTGATTAAAATATCTGGCCTTAATAATCTTTAAAATTCTGAAATTATTAATTTTCAGATTAATAAAGCTCATGATGCATTGATATGAAACTTTTTTTTATTATAGTTGACATTTGCTGTTGTTTCAATTGTCCTTGTATGTTTTATAAATAATAGATTATATGTTCTATGATATTTTCCTATGGTGATAAGACAAGACAAATCTCCATAAGAACTTTATTTGTTTGTCTATTCTATATGTTACCCAATTGTTTTTGGAAAATATCTTCATTTATGGTTATCAACTTTCCTTTTTGTAATTGAACATATTTCATTTCCTCCTCCAGAAAAAGGAGAACAGTAAGAGAAGGAAAGAAGACCACAACTTGACAAGGAAAAGCAAAGATAAGAAGGTAAGTTATTGTCGGTATCTAAATGCTTGGTCTCTTTCTTTGGTTATGGGACTAAAAGTCTGAGTCATAAGCATTTTTTACTTCTAGATCCATATTTGCCTGAATAATTATTTCTTGTCATTGTGTTGCTTCCGTTAACTACCACAGCTGTTTTTGTAACAAAATAATCATTGTTTTATGGATATTCATGAAGAATTAATATTTTTTTTGTTCTATTTTCTTGAAGATGCATGTAATTTTTGCCTTGCGCAATCAATGGTTCATGGATTTCACCTTGGCTTTTCTTTGCTCAAATTTTCTGAAGATGAGACCCAAATAGCTATTTCAGATAGTGACTTATGAAGGGTTCCTAGCCGTATTCTCCATGATACTTGCCCACAGATTCTTCGTGGTTAGTTATAGAGCCATGCAAATAAATCTTACCCTTTTTCTGTATCAAATTGTTAAGGTGTCACAATGTGGTTTTGTGCTAGGGATGTGACCTAATCATTGGTCAACTTTGCAAATGACTTGATGAAAAAGGCTGGTGACATTGAGATGACTTCATGTCATGGTTTAGATACATACATTTGTGTCTTAATGCGCATAAAGTAACAAACACTTGCTTTTCCTTCTCTCTTTACTTAAACATCCATTCCAGCTTTTGTCATTTTACCTGCATGATGCTCCCTCTCTTTTTTGTTATGAAATATATAGATGACCAAAGAATCGGAGAAAAAAGCACCAGACATAAACTAAAAATTCAATCAGACTTTTCGTGGTTTGGCTTGTAAACCTATATCCATGGCAAAGACGGACGATTTATTATGTCAAAGATGTACACATAAGTTCATATTCATGCTCTACTGCTCTGTTTCTTAAGTTTCTATTTTCTTTAACATACTATCATACAAAGTTTTAAATCTTGATTTGGTAGCAGTTCAGTGATCTACCAGACTGGTGTGATACCAGTTTACCAAGTTGTATAGGGACCCATATCACCCAGTACTAGCTGAAATAACAAAAGATAATTATACTGACCAGTACCAGACACACAGTGTGATACTGTTTCTTTGATGCTTGTTGACTGCTATTTGGAAACTCTGCTACCGTATTCTGTAGGTAAAATATCTTCATTCTTGGAATGTTTACATATATGTGAAGTTGCTGAAGTTGATTATGTTATTTTCATATCATGTTGTGGTGATAAGTGATAACGATGTTTTATATGCATTTGAGTTCTTTTAAATCTTTTAAGTTATTTTTGTTTGGTGTGCCAGTCAATTTTCTTGTTTTTTCTTTGTTGGTTTTCCTTTTATTTTATTTTGGAAAAATGGTGATCGAACCATCTGATATTCATCTGATCTTATTTTTAAGTTCAAGTTGATTTTAAAACTGATTCTGAGGGTCCATGTTTGAACCTTCAGAAAAATGACATGATCATTCAGAACAACCCCTACCAACCCATTCTAACAAGCATAATGACACACCACTTTTTCTTTACTCATTTTTTTTTAGAAGGCACATTTCCGTGAGTGATGCATTAATGGTTTGAATATTCAGTTCATTTGTTGACTTTGGAAGCAGCATAAGATTTATACAATCTTGGATATCCTCTAGTTGGGCTGAAGTGTTAGTCTTAATTGGTTGGATCTACTAAAAGGTTATGGAATCCTGACCTGAACTGACAGGCAGTTAGTTTCGATTGATTCAGTTGATGATAATATGGAGGATGGTAATGATATAAAAGTGAAATAAAGGATGGGAGAGAAAGTGGGTAGTCACTTAGCTGTAAGACTCAGGTGCATCTGCATCGGGGATGGTGATGTGTCGTCACATGGCTAATAAGTTGATCATCTACCGATGGAAAATGTGTGATGCTGTGGTATGTGGACATCATGTGGCAGGACCTTAGTGTATGAAATACTTTAAAGATGATAGAATAATAGGAAGTTAGGAAAAGAACATGCTAATGATGATTATCAGTGAAAAGGAGGGGAGAGCATAGGAAAAAGAAAAGGGAGAGGATGACAGGAGTGTGGTGAGGGCAAATACTAAGCTGAAGGAAAATCACAAAAGAATGTGTGAAGGTTTCATCGTCTTTACTCCTGATTTGTTTGAAGGTTAGCTTTGCTAGAGTATAATGTGATTGATGGAGAATTGTAATGGTTTTTGTTGGCTTCATTTAGGGCCACATTGAAGTGTCAAATGACTTTGATATACCTCTCTGGGTATGAATTTTATTTACTATAATATGGTATAGCTTGCAATTAAATAGATGTAATTAAGCGTATCAGTATATTTGTTGGAGCTTCTTTAAGTAGTGGCAGCAGGAACCTTAAGGGGTGTTCAACCGGTTCGGACCTACCTAACTGAACCGGTTCAAAACCGATTAATTTGGTTCGGTTAACCGGTCTATAATTTCAGGCAAGGTTCGATGTAATTTGGCGTATCGCTCAATACGGGCGATATGTACCAGTCCCTTATTACGCCCCAATGTATCGTGTGTCGGTACGCTCGGTATAGCTTGGTATAACTTGGTACGTACTGTACCAACAACTAGTCGGTCCATCAGTATGGACCTATAAAGCGATTCATGAATTCAAGTAATTAAAAAAAAATATTTTTAAATTGTGTCGAATCAGAATCTTGGTTCAATTGGGTCAACACGGTAAGATTTGTGTAATTTGGCCCACATCATTTGTGAAATTATGGTATTGAAATTGGGCCATTGGGCCGGTTTGATTAACCGGTTTGAACCGGTTAAGGGCTTAAGATAGTGAACTAGGTCAGTCTAATATTTGTTTAAATTAAAATTGGTTCAGTTTGGTCTGAACCGAAGAATACCCCGAACCGAAATCACATCGGTTCGGTTTGAACATCTATAGGAACCTTGTATTTTGGACTCACATTCTTATTAAAGAATGTGAAAGAATATATATGTATTTGTATATACAGCTGGCTTCTGAGTTAATGAATTGATTTATGTTGTCAAAGCTTGATTTAATGAAGTCATCTATCCTTGTCACAGGAGAAAATTACAGATTCTGCAAAATCATCAGGCCACCTTGGGACACGACCTAATGTTCCTCCATATGCACTGCCCATGCTTCCTGTGGATGAAGATGATATTTCATATAAAGGTTTTAATATCTTCCTTTAGCCATTCTACTTGTATTCATTTGGATTTGCTCAGTTTATTGCTGTTGTATACAATTACTGCATCCGTTTAGTATTTTGATAGTGTACAGAGTCAACATTCCTTGTTTTCAATCATTACTGCTAGAAGAATAAATGATTAACTACAACGACAAGCAGCAATGCTAGAAAATCAAGCAAAGCAAAAAAAGTTCAGATTGCATACAAGCTACATAATTTTCCAGTAAGGATTTGATCACTCTAATGTTGATGTACTAAGAATGCTCTCTTGTCTTTTTGCAGCAATTGGTGGTCGAACAGGAGAGCTTCTTGAGAATAATGCAGAGACCTTCACTAAAATATCAGCAAATTTTGCTAACTTAAGGGTACCTGCATATGCATGTAGCACTTTTTAATTATTTGGAGTGAACATGAAGTGAACTTACTAGCACACTCTCTGGTGCACATAGCTTATCTTCTGATTGGAATTTATGATCAGAAGTTGCTGACTCATTGAGAAGTGTCTATCTCATAATGTTTGCATGGACACTTTCAGATTTTAGATCCTTTTTATGATGAATCAAAATAAAATGGCAGTTGGAAAATTGATCTCGTAATATTTTTTCCTCTGCAGATTCAGGATAACATCAATCTATTTTGCCAAACACGGGACAGCATACTTGCAATTTTGAAAGAGTATGTTTCCAGTTTTGAGTGCTGCATGCTGCATCGTTTTCTCATTATCAAATTTTTGGCATACAATGGATACATGCTAGTTTATGTTGTAAAGATGTGCATCTTCTTTGCAGTAAAAATCTGATGCTATCATATACATAATATTAATTGTTATCTTTCTTGATCCAGCATCATACTTGTTAGATATATGGCATCATTTTTCGAAGTCAACTGGACTATTTACCTAGAAATTTTTACTAAAGCCAAGGAATAGTTGTACAACTGGCACTAAATGTTTTCTCTTTCATGTAGGAACCCTTTTTAGGATTCCTTGTATTAAGCATCACTTTGCATGCTTTTGTCGGATGCTATATTTATCAGTTTGAGAGGAACTAGACCACTTTCCCCTCATCCATACTAAAAGCATCATAGACTCGTTACCAAGAATTGCAGGCTGAAGGATTAACTGTTTGACGCTGCAAATAATCCACAGTTGTGGGGAACGTAGCAGAGGATACATAGCGATCAAATTGTTTAACCTTTGTTATTTTGCAAGAGACTGGATGCGGGTTTTTAGGGGTGACATTATTTGAAATTATGGATAATGATAAGAATGGTGATGGTGACATGCCAAGCACATTCTCAATACATTGGTGGAAGTAGCTCAATAGGTAGTGCAGGAAACAAAGTCCCTGGGTTCCAACTTCAACATTACAGGACTCACATTTAGATAAACGAGGTTGGAGGTTACATTGAAAGAGGGAGTACAAATACACACACAGGAAGGACGTGATGGTTTATATGTATAAGTCATAAAATAGCAGAGGTTTTTCTCCTATAGATATTAAATAAGCAATTACAAGTACATGACCTTTTGCGATAATTAACCAATATTTGAAATTTTAATCCATAAAGTACAACTCACTACTAATCATAAATAATGTCAAATACATAAATAATTTTGTGAATATGGAAATTTGTCAGTAATAATCACCTGCCACTGAAACTGATCCTTTTCCAAGCACATTTCTCAGCAACTGAACTAATTATTTCTAGCAGGATTAAGCATTTCCAGTATCTACAAACTTGTATTAGTAACATAAGTTTTTAATTAGAAACATAGTTAAGGTTATACAGCTACAAGCATAAATAACTAAAAGTATAATTATTTTTGCTGATGTTCATGTGATCTATGGTCTGCTTGATGCATAGTGTCTTCGTTTAACGAGACTCACATTGGTTGTGGATCAGGATTTGGGTAGTGTATAAATTACAACTCATTTCATCTTGTCAAACTCCTTTTTAGTGACATATAACCCAAGGGTGTCTTCAACTAGTGATAATTATGGTACCAGAACGATAACTGTTTGTGGTGTGTGGATCATGTTGGGATCTCAGTGAACTTTTGGTTTAACAAAGGCATGCACTGATATGGTAGCAATGGCATAGCATGTCCTAGGGGCTTCCGGACCCCACATAACTTATGGGGTATTGATGCAATTTTTTGAGTGTGATATGTCTTCTGACAAAGACATCAGGTTTTTAAGTGGCGTGATTATAATATCCCAATATGATTAGTTCATGTTCTGATTAGTCTCACATTAGTTGTGGGTTAGGCTTTCATTACATGAGTTCAGTTCTCTTATGAATATTATTTTTTAGGGCATTGCCCATATGGTTTTGAGATTTAGTTATGACAAATATAGTATTAGAGCAACAATCAGGGACATATGTGCATCTAGAAAAATCTTTGGTTCAAGAAAGACATGCACTAACAGGGGCATGGTGAGCCCTTAGAGCTTTCAGAACCCACATTACCTATGGGGATCATGATAATTTGATTTGTGTGTAATATGTGTTTATCTTGATGAGTGCATCAGATACTAAGTTGGTAAATCATAATATCCTGGTTTGATCAGTGCCACATTGGTAGTAAACTAAGCTTTAATTGGGAGTACTTCCTTTTGGAGGCATAAAGTTCACATGGTTCTGTTTTTGGGTTGTGAAATGATGGCTGAACACTTTTCCTATAGATATTAAGGTAAGATGGATCATTCTTGCTTTGCCTACATGCAATGTGGTTTGGTTTGAAAAAGAATGTGAGGATTTATAAGAAAACCTTAATCTGGGAAATTCTTTTGAGTGTGCACTTTTTACTTATAGAGTTCAGATGAGATCTCCTTCACAGGAATGACAATTTGTCATAGATAATGTTTTGTAGTATTTTCCCACTTGGAAGAGCTTTCTAGGTGAGGGTTGTGGTTTGTTTGTTTATTCTAAGCTAGCTTATCATATTTTAGTATATCTTGCAATGGTAATTGTGGAATTGATCTTGGGGTGCGTTTGCAGGTTGTTTTGAAGTTTCTTGATGTGGTAATGGGTGTTTTTCCCTTTTATATCTAGTGATGTTAATGATGTATCACCATATGTAGCCCCATGGCATAGACTACACAAATAAAGCTAGTGATATAATGATGTATTACCATATTTAACCTCATCACATATTTAGCGCCATAAGGCTAGCGGTATAAGTAATATATAATGCCATAAACCTACAGCATGGGCTACACATTACAAATCTGTCTACCTCTGGGTGAGGTCATAGCATAGATGTTCTTAGAGACAATAGGAACTTGTGCATAGTTACATATGTTCCTAATCATGTAATATGAGATTATATAATTTCATGGCACATGAAATTTTACAATTTGCAAAACAGAACTAAGCATATAACAATTGGCATAAACAATTGTAATACTTGCACATATGAAATAATTTTAATTTGGATAATAGGTTGAAAAGACATGAATTTTAAATTTCCCAGATAACAAGTCAAATGTATGCCTGATACATGATTTTTGCAAATTTTATGTAGGACAGATTCTTAAATGCTTTGTCATATTTCTTCTGAAACTATTTAGGTCAAATAAACTTCTATCATATACTTTTTTTTAAAGAAACCAGAGAACTGATCAGGCACTTGCCTGATCATTCTTGCAAATCAGGTCACTATACCCTCAAGATGCTAAAGGCCAAATAAGCTGATCGATGAAGCTTCACTGTGAATTCTCTCTTGAAAATCAAACATGTGATATTGATTTCATGAAATAAAGCAATAAATCTTGACAATCACTAGAATATAGAACCAGAGAGACAGTTGAGAGAGGAGAGATGGGCTTTTGGCCCTCAAAAGCATTTTGTCTTCCTTTGTTTCTTCTCTGAGATCCCTTTGAGCTCTCTCCTGCATGTTTTCTGATGTGATTGATTATCACATTTTAATTTTATTGTTTAGATTCTCATAATTGCATAGGTTGTGACGTGGAGGTTGAGAATAGAGGGTTAAGGTGGAGGAAGAGAATTACATAATCTAGACTTTGGTAGTGTTTGGGAAATTTCAGTACCTGCAACAGAGCAGCTGTCTGTTATTCCCTATGTGGATTGACAAGTATCAAGATGGGGGCTTTCCTCATGTTTGTCTGATAACAGAATCCTAGGAATACATTTTGGGCTATATGTTATGTTACATTCTCAAGAATGTTAGACTTTTAAGTGGGGAGAACATTCGACTTGGTTTGTCCCACAATGAAAGCATATGGTGGATTGTGTTAGTATATTGCTGATCCACGAAATGTTTGCTTAATTTTACGTTATATGTTGTCTTTGATATAATTTGAAAGATCACCTTGTATGTTTCCCTTATTTAGCATTTTTTTACAACTCAACTGCTGACTAAGTTGGTTAGAACCTAATTAGTAGCCTCCTTTTCTACTATTTCGGAGCCTATCTTAGGATCATGTAATGTCAGCACAAATAAGTTGTTGAGCAAAGTTCTGGCAATTTTATCTTGATAAGCCTGTCTGTTATCATAACCTTATTACTTGTCAACATAGCCGAGCCTGTACTTATATGTATTTAACATGTGACGTTAGCATCCAAGTATCAATGACAAATCTGCAAGTCCCAACTCTTTGGGCTTGGCATTATCCAATTACACTATACAAAATGTTTTGTTAACTAATCTTCAGACTATTGTCATCAAACCTCTTAAGAGAATTTGGTGGCTTCCTAAATTCTGTCTTTTGAAATATATGATGAAACTAACTTCTCCTATTTGCAGCTTGAATGATATGCCTGAAATAATGAAGCAGATGCCACCACTTCCAGTAAAGTTGAATGAAGAACTTGCCAACTCTATCCTGCCAAGGACAACCATGCCTATGCAGAATTGACAGGAAAAAAGACCAACTTGATCTGAATCTACATACAGTAGTTATCTTATCTAGTTTTCCTGTTTGTTGTATATTATATTTCTTATGTTCTGATGATATCCGATGATAAGTACATAGTCGCTACAGACAACCTATGCACCATCAAGGATACTGTATCAGTTATATTAAAAACAGATGCTAGTCATTTTTGTAACAGATGTTGATTCGTCAGATTAATATAGAGTGCATATGTAGTCCTTACTCCATATTTGTGTTTGGTGTACAGTAATATAGATGACACAATCAGACCAGTGATCCTCATTGTTAATGGGTGATGTTCTATTGTCATTAAGTTTGTCTCTTCCCTCGTGCTATTGTCATTTTAGGCGAAGCCTAGTTTTCCTATCTTGTACACTATTTGTTGATCTTTTGTCGTTAATTCATATAACTAAAAAATCATATATTTAGTTAAGTTCAGATTACTTAAATTTTTATTTATAATTTTTATTAAAATATTTTTAGGTTTTTTTAATCTCTCCTCGTTTCACTTATATAATTTTATGTTAAATTCAGAATACTTCAGTTCAAAGCTCTTATAATAACTAAAAAAGGAGATATTCCCTAGAGACACTTATTTAGTTGCTTTATCAGATATCTAGTTCTCATGCAAAGATCCACACCTTTAAGTAATGGTACATGCACCTCATGCTCTAATTAGAAGCCTTCTGAATGCATTTGGCTAGTTTTCATGTGCAGCGGCGACTGCGACGAGTGACAAAACGTTAGTCATCTCAGTACCTTGAAACCCCTTAGGTGGCACAAGGCTGGATGAGGCTCTCGGGTATCAAGGAATATGTTGCCTTGTGCTTCTCTCATTGTTTGTTGCTCATTGCTTGCTCGAAAAAAAAAAAAAGAGCTTGTTTTAGCTAGTTTTTAGGTTGTTTTTATGTGTTGTGATGACCGCGATGAGTGACGTGAAACGTCAACTATCTCAGTATCCTAGAACCACCTAAGTGGAATAAGGCTAGATGGGGCTCTCGAGTATAAGGTGCTGCCTTGTGCTCGATAATCGTGGTGAGCGACACAAAACATTAGTCATCTCAACACCTTATAACCCCCCGGGTAGCACAGGATTGAATAAGGCTTTTGGGTATCAAGGAATGTGTCCTGCGCTTCGCTCACTATCCACCGCTTGCTGCTCGCTTGCATGGCAAAAAATGACCTGTTTTGACTAGTTTTTGGGTCATTTTTACTTGTCACGGTGATTGCGGTGAGTGGCATAAAATATCAGTCATCTCACACTATGAACCCTTGGTGGCACACGGTTGAATGGGGCTCTCAGGTATTATGGAAGGTTCTACCCTGTGCTTCGCTCATTGTCCATTGTTTGTCACTCACTCGTGCGACTAAGAATGATTTATTTTGGCCTGTTTTTGAATCATTTTCCCATGTTGCGATGACAGTAATGAGTGGTGCAAAACATCAACAATCTCGGTACCCTAGACTTTTTGAGTGGCACAAGATTAGATGGGGCTCTCGGGTATCAGGAAAGGTTACCCTATGCTTCGCTACATCAAACCTAGTTTATCGTCGATTGATTCTTTCAGTAGTTATATCCATGACAAATGCTTGGATTTTGTATCAAAGTCTCCTTTTCACTAGCTGCAAGATGATTATATGATACTAAATTCTTAGAAATAAAGCAATTACGTTGTTATCCTTTTGTTGGATATAGTATCATTTATCGAATATTAATCAGCATAAAAGAAAACTCAATTGTAATGATGATAAATCATACCTTTATATAAAGAATAAATATTATTTCATATTTTCAAACATATGCATGTGAATAACTTAATAAATATATAAAAATAATAATTAGATTATTATTTATCGCATGCAAAATTTTATCAATATATCATATGAAAATACTATAAAAGAAAATTATAATTTATACTTTTAAAAATTTCGTATGGAACCTTATACCAATCAACCCATTTTAATTGGATAGACTCATAATTGAACTATCTAAATTGGACTCATAGATTTGGGTTAACTATTCGCCCAATTAGGTCTATCAAAATTAAAGTTGATTAAAATAAAAAATTGAATAAGATTCGACTTTTTTCGAATTCGATAAAAACTTGATTAATCGAATTTAAATCTAGTCAAGTAGTCAAAATACAATCATGATTAAGTTCGATCAAAATATTTAAATAGATCAAATTAATCAATTTTATAATTGAGAACATAAATAAAAAAAATTTCTTTCTAAAGGGTAAAATTATAATTTTTCATAGGATATATAGTAGAAATATCCAACTTTTGAAGGGCATAATTAGAAAATAAAATTTAAGGACACAAATTAGAATTATTTATTTTTAAGGGATAAACATATTTTTTTAATTAAAAAAAAGCCTAACTACTCACTACCCCCGTCGCGTTACTCCTCACACACGCACGAGTCTCATTGGTGGTGCACCAATTGTCCGTCGCATGCATGCCACTCGTGGTGGCATGCCTCTTCTCATGCAGTCGATCAACGACCTCACTGGTCGCGATGCCATGCTGTCGTGTCCTACCACCATGTTCCTTATCGATGGAACATCTCCATGGTGTACTGCTTGACCAAGTACTACCAAGGGATTGTACCATCACGTGACCTTGCACACGCATCGATCAACGACCCCCATGGTCGTTGCGGCGTGCGACTGCGCCCATGTGTCCCCCGTGTAGCCGATAGGTACCGCAACCTTCGGGGTCGATCGTAGCTAGCAAATGCTACCATAGTAGCTTTACTATAGTTATTACACGCAACAACATTGCTGTAGCCGCCGCACGTTATTGACAACGATTGAGCAAGCGACCACTAGAGGTCATTGCCCTCAATAATACTATCGTCGACAATAAGCTATCGATAGTGATTCAATGATTAAACATGAGGAACCTTGCATCGTCCGTAAGCAAGAGATAAAACAAACTAGAAAAAGAAAGCAAATCGACAACACATAGATCATTCAAATATCGTAAATCAAAACTAGATAACACCCTTTCATAAGCGAATGGTGATAATAAATAGATCTAAAATACTTTTATGATTTAAAGTATTTGATTTTAAAACATACCTCTAATACTAATTATAATCATAAAATCATAATTATGCTATTGTTATATGAAAAACTTTAGTACAATAAATAGAAATCAAATAACAACAGACATGTACCTTTTATGCCATTTAGAAAGTCTTGGTCTGATCTACAAACGTATCATCATCGGATCCAAAAGTCGCAATGATACTGATATGCAAGAGAGCTAGACTCCTCCTCTCTTCCTATCATTCACAAGAATGCTCTAAGCAATAGATTATGAATAAAGAAAAATGATAAAAGATATGTAATCTCTCAATAATTGGTTCATGTGACAAGTGGAGACGAGAGAATATCTGTAACCTCTCAATAACGTCACGTATTCCCTAGAATGTCCTATCTATTTATAGACAAGAGCAAAGGGTCTAGGACAAATAACTAAGAGAGTCTCTCCCATTAAATTCATCTTCTAAGGAATTATATAATAATTAAACTTTTTTTTATTGATCGATAATCATAATCAAAATATAATCATATCTATAATATATTTTTTATCTAATTAGATATGCCATATAATTTAATAGGCAAGGCTTTCGATCTTATCAAATGTAGATTGGCGGCAACTACCGTTCAAGGCCAAACATTTTTGATCGAATGTACGACTCTCAATCTTGTTAGACATAGATCAGGCTCTCAACTCTATTAGAGGCTATTCATCTGCAAGGCCAAATTGGATGCGAGGCTCTTGATCTTGTCAGCCACAAAGTCATGCTTGCATCGAAGGCTTTTGATGTTGTTGAAATGGAGATCTCGGTCGAGAGGCAAGCAACCGCCTTTGGAACGGAGGAAGCGTAGCTGAGATTGGATTTAAGATTATTAATGACATCGATGAGAGAGGGGTCGAGAGCGTCAATGTGACATTCCACATCGACGCGATGGGCAAGGCAGAAGAGGAGAGTCATCAAACACTTACGACAGATGAGTGGAAACAAAGATGAACACATCCATATAGCACATTCCAAAAAACTATGACAAAAAATTGCACGTGTGGTGAAATCTGCTCACATTTGTAATGCAGTAACATCTTGATATGCAAACCACTCTTCCATATACATGGCAATCAAATATTACATAGACCAAAACATGTTATAGACCTGCTTATATTGGTCAATAAATATCATATTTTGGTGAAATCTTCTCATATTTGTTAGAAATAATAACAATACCTGTGCAAATCCATATACTTTACAGAGAGAGGAGACATCTTCTGTCATCCAAAAACAAGAGTGGGGCAGAAGAACCACAATGACTCATTTTACATTCTTGATAAGCTCTTGATGATCCCTGACCTTACAGAGATCGCGTTCAAGTTTCTTCATCTTTGCTTCTTGCTCCTTAATGATGAGCACAAGCGATCTCACATCCAAAGCTTCAGATAATTCACTTAGGGACTGGGACTGCGAAATTATAAAGATCAACCTTTAGCATCGCGTTAGATGTTCTCCATACAATAATGGAGAGAAGTTTCTTTCTCCCCTTCTCTTTTGTAGCTAGATTCAAGTAGATAAATCGAAAGCACCCGCCGAAACAAAATTGTTCAAATACAAAGAAGTGCTCCGGATTGGCACAGAAATATGTTCCAAGACAAATGAAAATGTTCCTCTTTCTGTGCATTCAGCACCCTAAGGTCACAAAAATTTCTGCCCAAACATCAACAAACCTGACATGCTTCAAATTATTACATCCTTGGCTTTTCTGCAGCAAGCATGAATTTTCTAATATGAACTTGCATGCTTCATTTTTTTTATATAATATTCCAGAATTGCATTTGTAGTTTGTGTATTTAATATGGATGAGAATCTTTCAAGATCATAGTCTGCCCTAAATATATTAAATAATATTTTGTCGAATCATCATGAGGTGAAATGACGCAACCAGAATGTTTATGACAATGTTTACCAGTCATGACACACAAATAAAAGGAACAGACTGAATTATTATTATAAAACCAAAGACCAATTCTCAGCAAAATATTCCAAGTAAGGAAGAATATAATGGTTATCAATCCATAAAAAACTCAAAATAATCAACTCCATATTGGAAATGATATGTACATCACTGCAGCCATCCAAGGCATTCACATAACACAATTAAGAGCACTCTTCAGCAAAACAAAGCAATGCCACAAAGAATTGGCAACCCGAATAAGAAAGCAGAATCCTAAAATAAGTTGCAGAAGTCACCTTATGTACGTTAATCAGATTGGTATCCAGTATCAGCCTTTTGTTAACTATGTCCTAAAACATGCAGCATTGGGCTTGTTTATTTGTGGCAATATTGGGTAAATATGAAGCAACCTAAACCAGACTGTCCGAAGTACAAAGAACAGACACAACATGGAAAGCTGATACTGCAGCAACAGAATTTACTACCTCAAACCATATATGATAAACCAAAAAATTGCCCTCAGGCACCAACCCAGAATGTTAAGCATCTAAGGAAAATGGACCACTATCTTAACATGGTGATATGGTTCTATCATAGAAAAACCTGATATACCTTCCTTTGTATTTAATCAATGTGAGGGAGCTAGAAATCGGCTGATTGAGACAAAAGAAGGCGGATGGAGTGAAATGGGTGGCAAAACTTAAGGCAATGGAGCTAAAGATTCAGATCTAACATGATGCTATAGAGTTAGGCTTTGGCAGTTTGAGAAGTTCAGATTGTGTAAAGTGTGTGAAATTGAATCAGAAGGACTGCATAATTGACCACAGACAAAGTAACTTTAGCTAAAGCTGCACAAAGGAAACCCAAAAGGAGGGAGGCAATTCGATCGCAAGCATAGCAATAAGATTCAGGAAATTTTTGAAAGTTCATGAGTTATTTCATCAACAAATAGTTAACCATATTATTTGCATGTGCACAATTAAACAACAATTACAACACCAATAACAAGCTCTAATGTCCTGATTATTTACGCCAGCAAAGGGAATGCAGATGATCAAAATGTGAATTAAATATCTTGCTCATTAATTATGTACATAAATGATGTTTGTCACGATAAAGTTCGTAATACATAATTCATCAAATATCATGTATATCTACATTCTAAATATATTTATATTACGCTGCACTTTTCACAAAACTTCCCAAATTAACCAATATTTTTCTGGGTCCAAATTATCCAATCTTGCTGATCTGATACCTAATGTAAAGCTTATGTCTATGATTACAAGTTCATAAGCAAAGTAGGCTAACAAAACCTTCAAGCAAGTAGAGAAATATCAGAACTGTGTCCTATGCATTAAAGAAATTCCATTTTAAAAAAAAGCTTTAATAAGAAAATGTGGCACTCTGAATCTGTGAGATCATGCTGTTAGCTAAGCGGGCCACCTAAATCTGCCTATGTTTTTGGGAGAAGAAGGAGAATGCTTGTGCCACAAAGGACCTGAAAATACCAAAGGCGCACCAGAGGTATGCTTTAGCCACAATCTACAGAGACTTTGGCTCATGCAAGAGATTGTGCCACTACAGGGATGACTCGGACGAGTAGTGGCAGCCTGCTTAAGCCTAGAAGAAAACAGCTTCAGGATCCCAAGAACTGGCCAGGTGCTGGCCTTTGAGAGTTCATTGACAAATTTTCTACACCACATGTGGTGTTAGCACTATCTGTCGGCTGCATGAAACCACTCAACAAGAAGATAGTTGAAAATAAAATCTTCAAAATAGTTTTTCAAAGAATAAACATGGATAGCTAATGGACCCTGAGTGTCTGAATCTCCTTTTCTATTAAATATTGATTCATTAGAATCTTTTAAAGATATTTGTTGGTGATGCAATCGTGATGGCTTTCCTCAATTGTGTAAAGTTAGACTAGCTTCAACAAATGCAAGGTGCTGTTAAGAGATTGAATAGTGAAAGAAAGGCTTTGTCTTCAACAAATGCAAGTTGAATCAGAATATGGAAATAAGCAAGAGATAAGAAATCTAAGAAATTAGATTAACCTTTTCCAATAGTTGCACACGCTGATTTAGTTCTTCCACCGAGGCCCCTTGCTTGTGAACCACTTGGAGGACATTCATCAAATGTGACTGGAGAAATTCTGTGCAGTGCTTCCCAAGATTGCATTGTGGAAAGGCAGATTCACAGCCAACTTGGTAGAAAGGGCAGTTGACAAGCTTCATCGAGCAGACAGTTATGCAGTGTCTATCCATCTCACCCCTCATGATGCTCTCTGAGCACATCTGCTCACACGGGATGACCTTAAAATGACACACTAAGTCATGTTCTTCTGCATGAATAGCAGAAAATTTAGCCTTACATCCAGCATTCGTGCAATTTAATATCCTGAAACCACATTGGCTTCTGTGGTCAGCAAGTTGTTGGGCAGTATCGAACTTCATCGAGCAGTGGAATGTAGAGTTCAAGTCTACATTCCCGAGCAGAATTTCTGCGATGGCTTCTCTCCTCTCCATTGACCAGAACACATTTGTCTCCATTTCCTGCACAAAATCATCAATCTTCTCTTCTCGGCTTTCACTCAACAACCACCCCGAAACACGGCTGAACAAATTCCGTTTCGAACTTGCAAACTCTTCAACAAGAACGGATATGATGTCAATCGGGTGATCAGATAATTCTTCCACCGAATTGATGCCATCACCTCCTTGGACTGCAGCTTCTGCAATGTACATCTGACTTCGTTGTGTGAGATAGTCTACCATCTCCTTCCTCACAATGACAGCAACAGAAGCTGGACCCGTGAACAGACCAGTGGTATTGTCCACACAAGCTGTGGCCAATCCAGGCAGCAGTAGTCGTGCTATCTTTCGCACCAACTCCTTATCGCACTGATCGCAATGAAAGGATGACACACTCTCTTTTACCGGTGGAGGAGCTGATTCTAGCACATCCATTGTTCCTTCTGCCCAAAATTTATGAATCAATATCAAAATCAGTGAAGTGATTCCTAGTGATGCCAACCGATACATAAATGATTGCCCATGGTCTCACTGTTATTAGCACTACAAGCAATTCATTCGCAAGGGGAAACAGGGTGAAAATTTTCTATTGGTAGCATCAAATACCTAAAACCATACAAATGAAAACTTGGGAGACTCAACAAAAGAAGGTATTAGGGTTGGTGGCAACCAACAACATGCATAATTGGTGGAATCATCATCAAACAATATATAACAATATACTTCTTGGATTAAGTCTGCAGTCATTAGAAAAGCGAAAAAACAGGGGGGTTCAAAAATAATCTTTCAGCATGATGCAAAAGACAAAAAAAAGAACTGCAAAGGATGGGCAAAAGTGATGCCTTGACAGAACTACACTAATCAGATCCATCAAAGCTTACAAGAAGAGAAGTTCCAGGAATCAATCTCAAAGGGAGACGAAGTAACCTCCTTGGCGCGGAACTTACCCTCACGGATCAAAAATTCCTTTGATTCCGTGAAAAATCCAGATCAAGGGAGAGAACGAAGACGGCCGCAATTAAATGAGCTAAACCCTACCAATAAACTAAAAAAGGCAATAAGAAAAAAGGAATTGGAGTATGGATGGAGATCTCAGGGGCAGTAGCAGGCGGAGTCGTCTTTCGCTTGGAGACGAAGGAAACACCTCGTATAGTGCGAGGTTGATCGTAGATTAATAGCTATGCGCGGTGCTTCTCTGCGCCGTTGGATGTGATTTCCGACATCAGACGTTGATGACTGTTCGAATTCGACGGTGATGAGATCTCTACCGCAGACAATCTTTCTGCGGCAAAAGTCAACGTTTCTTTCCATAAACTGTCGTAGTTAACTTGGGGAAGTCGTCAAAGTCAAAGGAGCTGTCCGAACACTTGCTCGGGAAATCTCTTCACGGGGAAATGCCGGCCCAGGGCAGAGAACCGGGCCCACTCTTGTTTGTTGACGTGGAAGATGGTCACTGGATGAGACGCTGGGACCGAACCAATGTGGATCGTAGTTGAACGTCGATAGGAAGGCGGAGGGCGGCGAAAGGAGGGAGGGCGACCGGATGAGATGAGAAAGGGCCTATCGGCACATGTGGATTGGTTTTCTTTAGCTCTATCGGCACATAAATTGTCGACTGAATTGGACCTTTTCTTTGTCGCAAAACTCATATTAATATTTTTTTCATAAAAAATGAGTTGAATCTCATTTATCATTTATAATATATATATATATATATATATTGGGATAAAAATTAATATTTTTTATATTTTTTATATAAGTCGATACTACTGTAAAAATTTGACGCCAACACATTAAAAATTTGCAATTGACAAAGAATAAAATTAATGCAACATACAATGATTAAGGTTATTTATTATATGCACCTTTTGCTTATATTTCTGACATGCATATACCTAAATATATTTTGAACATACCAATCTAAGCGAGGAAAAAAGAAAGAAAGAAAGATCAAATGAAGGAATAAAACGAGACCAAATGAAGTCTGGAGAATTTAACCTGCAGCTCAGCTAAATTCTCATGAGTAAGCATACATATGCTTCATTGTAGCCTCAAAAGTTACCTCTCCCAAAAGAGATCTAATCAAATGATACTACTGGCCTCTTTCGTGAACTCGCCCTCTGCGTGCATGCGAAGCATGCGGCATCTCCATCCGGTCTCTCGTTCGACAAGAAGCTGAGCTCCGTGGCGGCGCAGTGCCACTAATGGCCAGGACCTTTCGGGCTCGGCCCGGACGCCAGCCTCGCCGTCAGGCGTGCAGTCTTCTCCGGCCTCGCCTTCGCATGCGTCGTCGTGTGCACCGAGTGGGACACCGGACGAACCGAGCCCGTGGCCGCTGCTACCCTTCCCCTCCCACCTTCGCCATGGGGTGTTTGCCTCGCGCTGCCTGTCCTCACGGCGACGGTTGCGACAAGAACGATGAGGAAGACGGCTCCTATTCCCCTTGACCTCGGTGTTGGAAGCATCTGGCAGCAGCTATGGATGGACTCGGAAGAACGTAACTTCCAGTGCTAGTGGTTATTAAGCATGCCCCCCTTGATTTCAGCTAATCATGCAGGAATATATCGATCGTACCGCCGGAGAAGCCGGTGGCTCGTCGTTCCGTGCCTGGGAATTAGCAGAGCGAAGGCTGAGGAGTATCTTATTATTGTGGATGGCCGAGGATTTCCGTGTCACAGTAGAAGTCAGCATGTTATTGTAGAAGAACATGGCCCATGGTTCTCATCACACACTGCTCCACAAGAAGTGCTTGGAGAGGTGAGCTCCATGTGAGGATCTGGGCACAAGCTTGCAAGTACCGAGATAAATTACAAGCTTCATAGCTCTTCGGTTGCTGCTTTCATGCAGTGATTCATGCTGAATAAGTGTGTGTAAGCAAATTGAGGAATAAATCAATCATAGAATACTTTGTAGTACAATAAGATCGAGCAAGAAAAATGATTGCTTGCTCTCTCACTTACCTGCTGCTTGGGGTTGGAGCTACTACATGATCTTTAACCAGCATATCCGATGGCATCTTTCATCAGAGTATTAACAGTTCTTGCAAGCACAGGGAAACCCCCCCATGGATTCTGCTCACAGAAGCTAACCTTAATCCGGAGCAATTTCTTGGGTAAGAGATCGCATATGAAGCACACAACTTGCTTTGCGCATGCAATATCTCAGGAGAGTTCTATGTGGGAATAATTATGGAGAATTATCCCAAAATAAAACCAAAAAATAAAAAAGAAATTATCAATATGTAAATCATGCAACAAAGGCTATTTTTTTATATTTGTTTAAGATTTTCTCACACAACAAATAATTTTTTTGATGTATTTTCATTATTATATATATATATATATATTAATATTAATGCATAAACAATCACATCAGAACATGGGCTTATCGCCTCACTGTTAACGGCACAGATCTGACTATTTCAATCATCGGACGGTCGATGATGATCGATTAATTCTCGAACACCGCCCTCGAACACAAATCCGGTGTCCCTCCCGAACACCATATCAAAACCCCCAAAACAGGAGGCAGCGGCGGCGAACAACCAGATGGCGACGCTGGCTCTCCTCCGCTTCCCTCCTCCTACCCGATTCGATCGCTTCCGGGCCTCTCCACCGCCGGCCATCCACCTCCGCCTCCGGTCCATGCCAGCGGTCGCGATCCCCTCCCTCCCTGCCCGACGGTCGGTCACTGTCTCCATGGCCCGCACTGCCGTCCCGGCCACGGACCGCCTCATCTCCGCCCTCGCCTACTTCCTCCCCTTCCTTGACTCCCTCCACTACGGTCGATTCCTCTTCGCCCGCGTCCCCGCAGCGGCCGCTGCCGTCGCCCCCATCATCCCCCTCGCCGCCGCCTACCGCTCAGTCCCTTACGCTGCCTTCGTCGCCTTCTTTGCTCTCTACCTCGGCGTCGTCCGCAACCCTAACCTCAGCCATTTCGTCCGCTTCAACGCCATGCAAGCCGTCGTCCTCGACGTCCTCCTCGCCCTCCCGGCTCTCCTGCAGCGGGTGTTCGGCACCCCGTCGAGGGGGGTAGGGTTCCGGGTCATGGAGATGGGCTACCACGCCATCTTTGCCTTCTCGGTGGCTTGCTTCTTGTACGCCCTCCTCAGCTGCGTCCTCGGGAGGACGCCGCACCTGCCGCTTGTGGCGACTGCAGCGGATCGGCAGCTGTGAGTTTGGGGTTTCCTATTAGGGTTTTGTGGCAGCTTTGGAAACCCTAAAGCTCCCTCATTCCTTGAATCAGAAACCCTTCAATTGGTAAGCTTTTTGATATGATTTCAGCAATGTAAGTTTGTAGATGTTATTTTAACTAACAATAGCTTCATCATGCATGTCTTTTTGTTGATGTTAGTGCATTTGTTTCTGTTCGTTGCTTTGTTTACACTGTAGCTGTGAAATGAGACTTAGAATGGTTGGAAACTTGCAGTCCAAAATTGAAAGCAGCAGAACAACAAGTGTATTAGTACATAACCTACACTGGCTTTCTGAGCCACCTACTAAGCAACAAAAAGAAAAGAAAGATACAAGATGGTGGTCATTGACTGTTGAATTATGCTGTTATGACCTGAGAAGGTTAGAATGGTGATGGTTACAATGAAATGACATTGAAGATTTAAGATGATAGTTCTATTTTTGGATGATTGACATTATTGCATATGACTCGCAAGATTAATCTTAGCTACTTTAAGTGCATTCAAGTGTGCTTCTCTTGGTTTAGAAGTTTGTGGAGGTGTATGGTTCTGAGGGAAGATGAACTAATGTGGCATAATTGTCAGATTTGGTTGTGTATGAATTGTAAAGTGGGATGGTTCAAAGGGAAGATGAACTAATGAGGCATTTAGTCAGAGCCTTGAGGCATGCATAACATAGATTAGATTGTAAAGTGGATGGTTCCGACGGAAGATGAACTAATGAGGCATTTAGTTGCAAACTTGAGGGATGAATGGCGAAAATTTGGATGTAAAGTGGATGGTTCCGAGGGTAGATGAACTAATGAGGCATGAATAATGCAAATGCGGTTTGTATGGGTTGTAAGGTGCAAAATTACAATGTTCATAGTAAATTTGTTCAGCTGCATATCGGTGTAATTGTAACATGAAGATGTTGAAGTTTTGCCTTGGCTATCGGTTTCAGTTTGGAAGAAATGGCACAAGTCCTTATACAGATGAACTAACGAGACGTATAATTAAAGCTTTGAGGCATGGATGGTGCCAATGTCGATCTTGCTTCAAGTGGATGCTTATTGTCAAGTTCCAATATGGGAACTCTAGCCAACCAATTTGTTAAGCCTACGCCACCGGTCTAAAATGCTTAGTAACGAGTTGATGGAAGTAAGTATACCCATCCGTAATAGTCCTTATAAATGAATCCAAAATTTGTCTTCCTTCAATGTGGGTGTTACACTTATGGTGTTATAGATATAATATTGGTGCAGAGGCAATGCTATCGGTTGAACTACCTCTTGGTTGAAAAGAAAGAAGCCACAAGTATAAAACTGGAATGTGTTGAAGCAGCAAAGATTGGTCCTCACTATTTTAGTGTTTTTTAAACCGTGTGTGAGATCTCATATTCTTCGTTTTATGTTCTTGTTTCATTCTGATGCTTTTGAGGTCTCACATATGGATTTGGCTTTGGATTGGCTTATACTAAATATCACCTGACTCGAACAGAATGGCAGGCTCGATATAAAAAATCCAACCTCGAACTCATTTCACTAATTAGATTTGATGTCCTCAACTTGTTATTCGTTGTTAAAGATTTTTGAAATTTTTATAAGACTTTTTATAATGATGATAGTGAAGAAATTTTTTTAGGAGCTTATTATTTAGACCTTTTTTTTTCACTATTGACAATCTCCTTACTATTCAGATTTTTTTTTAAATTAGTAAAATAATACTTTATCATTTATAATCCCTTTAATTTGATTTAACCTTTTTTTTCTCATCCCCACATCTTTGTTGTCGATCATCATGCTCCCTCGACTAGTGATTCGATAATTTGATCTTACTCGTTGTCCCTTTAATATCGTCCTTCCAAGAGATAAAAAGAGAAGAAGAAAAAAATATTTATGTTCATTTAAAAAATGATAAGTTTTGGTATATTAAAAAAAATTATATGAGATTATAAATAATTTTTTATTATGTTTATTATCTTTTATTCCTCAACGTGTCTACTCGCTTGCTTGCTCCTTGCAATTCTACATTTCTTTTCTTTCTGTTATGTTTCTAAAATGTTATTATGTTTTATATTTTTGAGGTAACGTAATTCTATCAGTTGATCTATCGATGTTATTAATGACCCAATGATCCGACACTTGAACAGGTCGATATCGAATGAGAACTGCTGGTGCCCAAAAGGATATCGTTCTTGATGCGTCTAATTAATGTCTTGGCACGGTTTTGCGGCGTAATAAATGGTTTAATAATAAAAAACTAATTTGATTAAAAAGAGTTCGAGTTGAACCTTCTGTCTTTACCACTATATATATATATATATGTATATATGTATATACATATGTATATATGTATATACATATGTATATATGTATATACATATGTATATATGTATATACATATGTATATATGTATATACATATATATATGTATGTATGTAAATGTATATTGTGTATAGTTGTCACATAGAGATTAAACGACCTAGAAACAAGTTAACAATGTAGTCATTTTGGATATTTTCTAATTCTGTAAAGTGGTATGGAGTGTCAACCAGTACAATACTCAAGAGCTACTCGAGTGGTACATAGTTGGATGAGCTCTTAAAGTAGTGTATAGGGTTAGTTCGTTGTAGTAATGCTATGTGAGCACTTGTGAGGATTTTTTATCGTGACAAATCACCTTGGAGCCTTCGTTATGCGACCGAGCTTATGAAATCTATGATTGTAATTACACTATCTTTTAAGTGTTTGCTAAAATGGTTGCTTATTGAATCCCAATTTAAATGTTTCCTTTAACTCATCATTTTTTTTACAAATCGTATGAGATCATAAAAAGTTTTGTGAAGTAATTCTTTTGTGAACGGACACACAAGGGTGTCGTATGACTTAAGCAAAACCAACTAAGTTCATGACAGATGGTATCAGAGTAGGACACGCATAGTTAAAAACATTTGGTATGCAAGCGTGGGAGATCTAGCGGGGTTGCATTGAGGGCAGCTAGCACGCGTGAATGTTTGAATGAAACAAGCGTTCAAATATAGGGAAAGGAATCACTTAGAGGAGCAGTCATCCAAGATTGGTATTTAGAGGAATAACTAATCCTTCACACGAGAGGCACCATAAGGATAAGAGAGCTAGAAAGAACATATAGCACACAAAAGTTAGGATAGCTAAGTTTGAGCTATAACTTGACATCGACAACATAACTTAATGGTGCTCAAGGCAAGTGAGGTACTTGACAAATGATGAGACTATGCAAGGAGGGATGGGTTACTTGACGACCAAAAGAGTTGTACGAATCTTATTGAAATGAGGAGAATTGCTAACACGAAGAATTTGGTACTCATGCAAGGGCTTGTATATGGATGATAGACTATCCGTGGCCATCTCAAAGCGATCGAAATTGACGCTATGGAGCATTGAAACTTTATCTTCGACATGAGAAGGACACATTCGTAGAAAGCTGAAGTGTATAACAAATTCAACATATTGTTAAGCCTTGAAGGGTATAGTAGTAGTTATATTAGCGAAGAGTCATAATGTAGCAAGTGTGTTCATAGGGACGATACCGTGCATAGTTTATTTAGCAAAAATGAGTAGTATAAGGGGATGGTGATCTCTGAAACTTCCGAAGGGATGGATGTGAAGAAAAAAATTACTCCAACATGATAGATATCTAGAAAGGGTAAGTCTTGATTCTCTAAAGAGAGAATCATGTGCAATAGGTCGCACATGTTGAGGATGGGTGCTTCAAGATAATAATTTCATCAAGCTCAACGGATCGAGCGAGCAACGATGAGTTGATGCATGATCTCACATGAGGTAATATGTTGGTGGACGCATTACGAGATCAAGTAGAGAACTAACTCAAAACAACACCACGTAAAGACACCGATGTGGAGATCAAACTTAATATAGAGCTAACTTGTGAAATAATAGGCGCGAGGGCCACAATTAACTCAATACAAACCGAGAAGCGAAGAAATTTGGGTGAAACTTGGTGAAGTGCCCAAGTCACATGAATGAAGTCGATATAAAAGACGAAACCTGAAGCATAAGTACAAAGCTTTCCTTGATAGAGGTCAAGGACATGAACTCTTACAAAAACAAACAATTTCATTTTGTTCCATAGGTCTCTCATTCTAATGGAACGAACTCATCTTGCATGGTGCTAAAGTTAAAAGGGAACTTCGAGGTATATGCACTTTATTTCAATAAAAATTTGACGAAAAAACTAAGATAACTCAACTTACAAATATAAAATTAAGATAAAAAACCTTGGCACGAGACAAGAAAATAAGAAGACAAGAACATTTCATCATGTTGCCATGCGAGTACCATAAGAGATATTCATCTCATAAATATCAAAATAGAATGAAGATATCACCAATATATATATATATATATATATATATATATATATATATATATATATATATATATATATATATATATTCATCTCGTATGTATATATAAATTTTCCATAGGTCATCGTTCATTTAACTCACAGCATACGAAATGTTTCCTGGTGATACTAATGGTTCACAAATAAATTGTCGGCGTATGAACTAAAAAGAGCTCCAGTTACCGAGGGTCAAGAATGATGAAAACTTCATAATGTGACACTATTCCTCTTCCGAAATGAAATTATTTAAGAAATCCATTTTTTAATAATAACTAACAGAAAATTTAGTGGTCACAACCACACTCGCCAATTGGATGATTATTGCCATTCCGTAATAACCTGCTTGGAGGCAAATGTCTGCAGGTTGGGGCGCAGCAACAGAAATAGCAAAACCAAGATCAGCTGCTGCCACTGGCAGCAGCTGATGCTTCTGCGGCCTTTTTCTCTTTCTGTTTCTCACGGCGCTTTTTGTTTCGCAATGCATTTTTGCTCATCTCCCTGAATAGACAGACGGCATGGTGATTAGTCCATTATGATAGGAAGGAGGTTGAAATGAAAACTTAACCAAAGAGAGAGAACGACGATGATGACAGAGGAACTTACTCCGAAGGGGCCGTTCCTCCGAAAAGCTGCCAGTTAAAAGAGGAAAGTACCATTAAACATCTCCCATCATTGAATAATATGTAATAGTGGGCCTAATATACTAATATACATTCTTCAAGATATGATCTTACAGCCATATATTTAAGAAAGCGACTCGAGGTACAAACTATACTAACTTTTGTTATGTACTAAATAATGCAAATGAAGAAAAAATTTGCACACGATATCACACCACCTGACAAGTGACAAGCATTTGGAAAAAAGCTAAATAGTAAAGACACCGTGGTTACTTTCACTAACTGAACTTCAATTAACTTGAAGAAGATGTTCTCTATAATTTTCACCAAATGCAACCAATACACTGTTATATTTTCACCAAATGTAAACACATTTTGCAGTAGCACTGAAAGTTATTACAGAAACCAACTAAAAATTATTTTTCTTATAAACAGAATGTTATCAACAGCAACCGATAATACAATGGTGAACAAAGCAAAAGAGAGGCCATAATCAAATTTGACAGCTACAGATATTCTAGTCTAAGAAATTCAATAAATTAGAGAAATAGATGTAGAAGAATCTATCAACTAATTTCATGCAGATGCAATGTGATCAAGTGATTCCAAGCACTGAACCAGAATAATAATTTCATATTCATAAGTTCAAATGTATTAACAGGAATTTTGCCAATACTGACACACTAAATAACCCAGTTTGATATTTAGGAATGTATAACAAAGATCCTAGGAAGACAGTCGTGTTCTCTTAAATTCCAGGGGTGACAGAAGACACAACCATGTGGTGAATGTAGGTGAAACTGATTTTAAGAATGAACAGGAACTCTAATGTCAGACCAGGAAAACTACCAGCATTAGTACAACACTGGAATTATGTGGGAAAATCTAAACAATGAGCAAACTGTTGGTCATTACCAAATATAATAAAAATGATTCAGAAGAATGATCATAGTTTCACCAGCATGGCATTCTATTTGAGATTGAATGGAGACCATAGACACCCCATATTGGCATTCTATTAAAAAAATTTTAACATATGAATTGCTGAAAGAACACCTCACGCTTTACCATTCTCTATTACTAGAATTTGCACAAGAATTTGACTAGGGGCGAATATTTGATTGTTTTAAGTAATGGAAAAGCACGATTGCTTATGGTACAAGAAACAAACATCATAGTTACGGAACACCTCACACTTAACCATTCTCTAGTACTAGTATTGGCACAATAATTTAACCTTGGTACAAGAAATTTTCAAGTATAGAAAAGCACAGGTGCCTATGGTACAAGAAAGAAACACCATAGTGATAGAACATAATTCTCATAATATATCAATTCAAAAATCAGGAGAATAGGGCAAATGTTTTCACCATCATAGTGAACAACAGACTTGTGATTCAATTTTGTTGTCATTGCAATCTTTTGCCAAGAAAACAAAAAATAATGCCAATGCCAACATTATCAGTGTTGTCACAGTGCCCAACAGTATCAACGTTGTCACTGGTAAATCACCTTAATATGCTCCCTTGGATCGCCATACGTTTGTACATACAATACTTTCACTTATAAATTGTTTAATTTGAGATAATATGTATAGACTTTAAATTTTCAAATTCCTTATTCCAATTGTTTATGCAAAATGTAATATAGTTTTTAAGTATTCTTGAATATCTTAACATCATTAGACTAGAAAACAAAGTGTGTTAACATGCTAATTTTCCAATGATAGCATATATGAGATAACTATAACATTATATATGTACAAAAATAAAAAAAAGGATGAAATGAGTTATCTTAAAATTTGTATCTATGTTACCACCTGTGCCTAGTCACTTGGACTATAGGACAGGCACATTGTGTAGGTCTAGATAATTTGACAATTGTGATAAGTACAAATGTCCTTTGGGTAAACCATCCAACTATTATTACAACTAAACATAGTCTAGTTACAGCATAATACACCATACGCTGAGAAATGAAAAGAAAAGAAAGAAAGAAATAAGATATAAGAAAAAAAAAAAAAGAGGAAGACACCTGGCATATATAGCCTTCTATAGTTACAATTGTGATAAGTACAAATGTCCTTTGGGTAAACCATCTAACTATTATTACAACTAAACATAGTCTGGTTACAGCATAATACACCATACACCGAGAAATAAAAAGAAAAGAAAGAAAGACGATATAAGCAAAAAAAAAAAAGAGGAAAACGTCTGGCATATATAGCCTTCTATAGTTAGCATGTGTACCCAGAGTCATAGAATGCAAAATGTTCCTCTAAACCTCTTTTTTAATACCATATTTTTCAGTTCATTTGACAAAGATATCTTTCTAAGACATCCAAGGATGGAACAAAAGTGTTTGTCTCCCTTTTGGTGTTATACAAGCAAGAGTAAATATGAGCCTGATCTCGAAACCATCATCTAGCTATGCTTCAGTGTCCAAAAGATGTTTGTACAAGATCCATTCTTCCATGGCAGGCTAGGTCAATATTGGAAGTATTTGAGTTATTTGTCTCATTAGCTAATAACAATTTTATGGGGTGAACCCAATGAACGAACCTCGACTCTAGTTAATTCATGGGCACTAGCAGAATAAAGTGTATGCACCAAAAAACAGGAGAAGTTGTTTAAGAGAGCTATAGATGCGATATGCACATAGTAAGTTGCAAGGATATAAATTAAAAGACACTTTTTTGTTGGTTTTGTATGCAAATGAATAAATAAAAGAGATTCAGGATTCTGCCTCTAGGCTTTAGGATATCATTAGTCAAGAGTGTCAAAGAATAGTTCACACTTCAAAGTTTTCATCTTATGCAATAAGTTTTCCTACCTGTTTCATTGACTATGTTATTAGCTGATAACCTATGATTCCGATGGTTCCATGATTCCATCACTGCTAACATAAATACAATGTAATCCATCTGTTGTATGTAAAACTAAGGATTGCTGCCATCCACAAATAGGAATGATCAATACAGAACTGAAGAAACTATATTTGATAGTTATAACCAGTCAAGACCAGTAATCTCCACAACTTGATTGTAAAATTATGATACAAACATATTAACTTGAACAAGAGCATCAGAAACATAAATACCTCTGCCTTCACTGAAGCAGCATTTTTAGCATGGGGTGGGCGGTATGCAGCTGGTTTTTGCACACTGCTAGCTTGAATGTTGCTTCTTGTCTCTGATGATGATTTTGGAACTTGAACTGAAACAATCAATATAACCAAACTGAGCCAAGTAGAATGATTATGTTGTCAACGTAGCACTTGTGAAAAATGCAACCTTTCTTTTCATTATTATCAATCTTCAAAGTTTCGACAGACTTGACAAGCTCATTTATATCATCAAACCGTTCAGGTGCCTCTGGCTTCCAGTCGGCCTGCATCAATAGAGTGTGCCATTATGAATAGTTCATCAACTAATTTTAGGTATGGCAATTCTATGGGATTTAAATATAAATTGGCATGCTAAAGAAAGATTATCAGATACCTGATACAACTTACTGAACATCTTTTTAAAATAAAGGGACCCATCATATCGGAAGATTTTTATCCTTAAAAGAGAAAATTGAGCATTAACCACAAGGGTATAGTGAAAACAAGAAATAAGTGAAAGTTTGAAAATACCCATTGTCTATCTGTAGTCTTGGTGCTGTTGTGACAGTCATGAAATACTGTCCATCAGGAGACCATTCACTGGTCACTGACCATTCTGCTTTTGTTGTTCCAAGCAACTTCTTTTCTGTATAGTCCCAAAATGCCTATGGAAAAGGAAAGAAAATGAACAATGACTGAACAAAAGTACATTAGAAGATAGATATATCAGTTCATGCTGATGTGATAAGAACCAAACTATGCAATTTCGTACCGTATCGGAGTTTCGACGTTCGCTCGGTATGGTACGAAACTATATACCAAGCGGTATACCGTTCGGTATACCGCTCGGTATATATATATACGTCGCCTCTCTCTTCTCCCAAGTGGGGTGACATCGCCTCGTTTATATATATATATATATATATATATATATATATATATATATA